GAATTCTTCTTGTGACACGCGCCGTCTAGTATGATTGCTATATCTCTCGCATATCCTTATATATACCTCCGAACATTCCTCATCTGGCAGCGAGAAAAAGCGGAGAAGTTCTTCATAGGGTCTTTGGTATGATGCGTCGAAGTGCCATGTAAGGAGAGCCAACTTCAATATCGTGTCAACGTCGAGGTTTTGCATGAGCTGTTCAATATGATCGTCAAGTAATCTGTTGTTGTCCAAGAGTTCCATATCTACCGAGCGGTAATACCCCCGGCGGACGGCCAAACTTAAACGCAGAACGGAGATACTGTCAGGGCCAAAGTCATGCTGAGAACCCTCAATTTCGCTAGCCGTGGCCCTCAAGCACAATACCTGCAAACACTTCAATGCTGACTTGGCCGGAAAGCGAAGCAAATATTCCGGCAGTTGGGACTCTTGATGTGGCTGCTCCATGTACCTTTGGGGTCAATGGATGATTTTGGGATTTGGCATATAAACTGATGCTCATTATTCTCGATTAGATAGTCATCTGAGAAAGAAGCTTGGTTACGTGAACCATTCCATTCCCTGGCGTGATGGCAAAGGTTCGACCCTTTCAATGATCTAAGTAGGAATATTCGTTGGTAAATAATTCTGTCACAATCAAATACTTCCGTCCCACCCTACTGCTTGTAAGTCATGTGCATTGCTTAACCAAGTGAGGGCTGTTAGAACTTGATTTGTAGGCTTCCGTTTCGTAAACGGGACCGACGGGCCTAGACCTCATCACCAACCATCACTCAACCCTGGGCCTTGTGGAATCTCGACAAATCCCGAGCCAGATAAAGGGGCACGTACGCTGTGACGAGAGCTCGAAAAGTGGACCCCGATAGTCCATGTTACTGGTGAATGAGGGAGACAACAGTGGAGTGTGGCTCGGGGGTCCACCAAAGTCTAGCTGGATTAAGGCTTGCAGTCGCCATTTCGGCATCCCGGACGGAAGGTGATACCTAAAACGTATACCTACAGATATGGGTTAATCTTTTATTGGCTCCCGAGCATCCGGTCTCAGTTAAGAGAAGTCCGGCCTGCGTAAAGAGTTTCTGTTAGAAAAGCCTTGATAAGTGACGCCGCACATGAAAGAAATGCTTCCGCAGCTATTACTCTTACTGCATGTGTCAGACCATCCACCGAGAGAGATATACTCACCTCATGAGCCTGGTATACAGTGAGAGAAAAAGAAATTGGCTGTTGTAAGATTTTAACTAGATCTGCTATGTTTTGATGCCAGCTAACTTAGCTGAAATCATCTCTCTTAGTTCATGGACATGCAGAATTTGAGCGATAATATCATCTATATCTGCCACTCTGAGCTGTTGGCTGGATAGGTGTGATTATCCTGTACATTAGATGAATTTAGTATCTAGGCCTAATAATGGAAAACGCTAACTTGTTCTATTTGTAACTTTAATTGTCGTCGCCGGTTCTTGTTCATGTAACCATTACTATCGGAGAAAAGCCTGAGCAACAGCGCTCAAAGCTGCTGTCTCTCAGTCCTAATGCATAGATCCAGTTACTTCTAGAGCATATATGTTCTCTGTTTCTCAAACCAGTCACTGCTCTCTGCCATAAGTTCAATTATGTTGTAATGCCCGAAAATCTTGGCAACTATCATGCACATTTCTGCCCATGCGAGACTAAGGAAGGGCTAGCCTTTGTATGTTAGGTGGAATTGATCTATCTATTACTCTCAGTTCTGCGTGTAAGAAAAATATTCGAATAGCTGCTTTCTCTTGACTTTCTGTCAGAATACAGCAGTAATATATCTCTCAGTGAGGTTTAAGTGGGGCTGTGTAGAATCAAAAGGAATTCTGTAAATTTTTTCATTTTTTCAAATACTATCTAACTTCCCAGTTCTATTGGTGGAATAAATAACTGACTAGTCACGGTATTAAGCCGTATAAGGTTTACCAGATTACACTTAGTGATTTGGAGACAGCAAGGATGGTGCAGCCTATTATACACAATAGGGACAATATCATGACAGTATATATGTATCTTCTAAAAGTCAGTATCAATTGTTATATGCTATATCTCAACTGTGTGGGTAATAAGAATACCTTTAGTAGTGGATAGTATATCAATGAACCAGCTTAGCAGGTTTTTTGACTACATCTTGGCCGGACTTACAACCTAAAATTGCTGCTGCTCGATCTATTATATATATTGTCCTAGTTGGCATCTAAGGAGGGCGGGACTGTCTAGTAGAACGTTACTATTATAAGAGTTAATATACGGGTAATATAAGTAAGACAGCTTCGTTTTATGAGAAGAGTGGAGTTATAGTTATATGTTAAGTAACAGTCACTCCCCATTATAAAACTACGTGCGAACTAATTGTTCTTATTGTTGAGTTTGATCCTGTTTGAATTGGGTCAAGTATTCATCAATCTACATTCTATTTTATATATCTCCTTCCGATAATCGTCCGTATTTTCCAGCGGCGCTTCTCATCTGGATCTGATCCTGAAATATCAACTGAAACTGTCCTCACCTCAAATGCAAAAAAACCGAAAAACCTGGAAGCCTGAGCGCAAGACACGTGATTGCAATATCCAGGGGTTCTTACCTCAAAACTTAAAATGCCTTTTCTGCCAGATTCACAGACAAATATTGGGATATGTTCATCTGAGCTGGACCGGGATGCCCCCGAAGAAGTTTATCTCGAGGATTCAGGCGATTACGAGGACGAAATGCACATACAACTGAGTGTTGCCGAAATAATCATATACATGAAGCCAGAAAATCCACCATTTATGGTACTTCTCGGTGCGGATAGTGAGAACGGGTCCTCGTGAAAACAAGGCAAGGTGGAGAACGGTTATATCTTCAACGACAAACGATCATCATGATTCTCCTGCATCCATCGCAGAGTTGTGTCTGGGAAACTGGTAGAATATGTGTCGAAAGGGCGTAAAGAAAATATGTTTGCATCTCGAATTTGACTGCTGCTAAGTCCTACTTTCGATTCTGTGATTGAGTTCTGTCCGCTTACCAACTTCGGTGGCTATGGGATCGCAGACTTCAAAAAGACTACTTGTCAGAAATAATAATAATAACAATACTAATTATTTGTCACGATAGTTCGTGAATCGACAGATCGAAACAATTCTCACTAGCTCAGATCATCCACCTGTTCAGTTAACAGAGCAGCTACTTTTTTACCCTGCATAGTAGAGGACTGCTACAACCTGCTCTTTTGGCTTCGCTTCTCTTCCAGTGCTGCTGTCACCAATTCTTGGACTTTCAGAGCCACACCATAGCTGTACGTATATCCGAGAGTATTGAAGCCGTATGCATGAACGACACTGCCTTCCCTTTCAAGTCGATATCCCCCTTTCCTGCTCGGCCGTAGACCCACTAGATCTTTCATGACATGCTTGTTTAGATCCAGCGACCTGAAGCGATCGTGAGTAATGAGGTTTGTTCGTCGTAGTATATCTGCACGGGTTGCGAGATCCACCGACTCATCGGTTCCTCCCTCTTGGCTAACTCCACCTATAATAACACCCCCACTGTACATGCGGGGGATCTGATACGTGTAGTGGGAGCCTTGGAACATCACCATTTCATGGGAATCACTTTCAACCAACATAGTCTGGCCGCGGACTGCAACAACTTTCTCGTCATTGGCGAGAACACGAGCTCCCAAGCCAGATGCATTGACAATGATCTCTGTCTTCAACAAAGACCGAGCGTGGTTTATTGATTCGATCTCTGCTCGAATGAACTTTACCCCCTCCCTTTCGAGAAATATCTTAATCCAGGGTAGAAAAATTGCTGGATTGACTGTCATCGATTTATATTGGAAACCAAGCTTGGCATTGGCGGGGAGGTTCTCTGATGGCAAACGGCGATATTTTGGTACCAGGGTTTTGTACCAAATCGTGGCATCGTCGCTTCGATCGTCATAATGCTCGGTCACATCTGTCACCTAAAAAATGACCCAGTCATTAGCTCCCTGTAATATACAGCTATAGTATTATGAAAGGCAAATAGAAAACGAACTTGAACACCACTGGTAGGGTCACGATGGGCAAGAGCCCAATAGTACTTGAACGTTTCGGCTTGTAGATCATGTCCTGCACTATCTGGGTAAGGCAAGATGCCAGCCCCGGCCCTGGGTTCTTAGGATTAGCAGGCGCACATTCTCGGCAGTAGTTGTACGTACCATGGACTTGCCCATCTCAGCGAGTCGTCCCCAGGTAATTCACGAGCAACGATCGTCACTGAGTAACCAGCCTGCACAAGGGCAAGTGCCGACGTGAGCCCGATTACTCCAGATCCAATGATGCCGACTTCCATTCTGATGACACCTTGATTAAGCCCCTGAATGCGTTTTTGATGCGTGTAGGAAACCCACCCATACCGGAGATTAACTTTGACGAACGGGGTTGATTTTAATACTGATCATGCACTCAAACGAGAAACACAGAATTAGCCTTCGGTCCGGTCACTGATTACCTTTTCTTAGGTAATATGAAAAGTGAATTAAAGGAAACAGGTAACTGTCACAAAAGCGTCCGATTGAAAATACCGATTCCAGCCGGGTATCGGTACCCGAGTCTCTTGTTCACGCCGCAACCACTTCTTGATTCTTGCGCGGAAGCTAAACACTCACTGAATGGAAGCCAGAAATTGGCAGCAGAGAGGAAATTGGACTGAGAAATGCCGGTTTGAAGTGGCGCGAAAGTGGCATCGGCGATTGTGGCCAGTCACGGCGTATCAATGAGAGCCCTCACCGTGGGTAAGAAGCTCTGCAGTATCCGTCCCTACCCGCTGCACATTACCCAGGATAGTTACCGTGTGCAGCTGAGGTGAGCAGCAGTGACCGATCGAGAAAAGAAAGGTAAATTCTAAATGGATGCTCATGGAAAGACACCTAACCTTTGAAATTCATTGAACTCCTATGGTTTTGCTACCTTACCTGCCGATTTTGCTGGACAAATTTCCGATCTGCATATATGGCGTCCCAGAAGTCTCGAGTACTACTTCTTGGTAGCGGTGGCGTTGGTACTATTGCTGCTTTGAATCTCGAGATTGGAGGTCTGGCCCAGGTCACGTCTGTCTTGCGGTCTAATTATGCGGCAGTGAGTCTCCTGGGATACAATCAAGTCTTGTGAACACGGAGGAATCCAGAACTGGCGGCCATCTGAAAGTCAGTCAGCCCTCTATTCTTCAACCTGGTCTACACCTCCTTACCCTTCATTAAGTTGAAGACCGTTCCTTGCTGTCGCTAATACCATAGTGTTTTGATGCAACAGTCCTCAATAATGTTCCCAGCGTTGCGGACTCGGTCACTGTCCGACCCTTTGACTACGTCGTGTGCTGCACAAAAAATGTTCCCGATATCTCGCCCACTGTGTGTGAAACTATCGCTCCTGCAATCTCACCCGGTCGTACGGTAATCGTTCTTGTACAAAATGGCTTAAATATCGAGAAACCCTTCCTCCGCAGATTCCCATCTAATATCATACTGTCCGGTGTCAGTCGCATAGATGCTCATGAGGTCGCCCCCGGTATCATAGAACAGAGACAAAAGGACATCCTGTATGTTGGGGCATTTGAAAACTGCCTCATACCTTACGAAGAGCAGCAAAAGGCAGCTCAACACTTCGTCAAAATCTACAGTGCGGGGTTGAGAACAACCTGTTCCTACAAACCTAACGTGCGTTATGATCGTTGGGTTAAGTTGATCAACAATGCCTCATTCAACCCAATTTGTGCCCTGACGGGTTTGACGACGGGCGAGTTGCAGCGGACATCTGGGGCCGTTGACAATTTACTTATTCCCGCGATGAAAGAGATCATTTCTGTGGCAGAAGCAGATGGTTACTCGCTTCCAGGGGTTATAATAAAGGAGACCATTCAAAGTAACCCACCAGACGAGGACATATCCCCTAGCATGTTGGTAGACATACAAAAGGTATGTTAGCTTTCTATCTGCGTATCGGACTGGTCTTACTAAGAACTCCCATGTCAGGGCAATTTCATCGAGCACGAAAACATTCTGGGGGAAGTCATTCGCGAGGCCAGAAAGGGCGAGGGGGTGGCAACACCTATTCTATCCACCTTGTACGAGTTATGTTGCATGGTTCAATGGAGGACCAAGAAGGAAAAGGGCCGGCTTGAGTCTGGAATGTGAAGGCCCTTGGGTCTCATTTTCGGAGACGCAAACTCCATAGTAGGAACTGAAGAACGGAATATACCTGCTGAAGCAGTCGTGCTTATAACAGAAATCCTACTGACAAGTGACCGTCTCTTGGTGCGTTACGAAGACTTGACTGCACCCTTGTCGACCTTTAGCGATGTTCATCATGATCTTCCATGTGAATCTTTATTGGATTTCTGGTATCAAGAAACTGTATCAAGAGGAGATGTAGTTATATATATATATATATATGTCTTTCTACTTCAGTGATCATAACATGATTGCCGCCCCGCCCGGGGGGGGGGTAAATAATGTCCTAGTAAGTATTCCTGCCTTTAACCCCATATATCACTTTGTCGCAACCAGTATAAAATCCTTTCTGCGGCTTCTTCGGCTTTGCTTGCCTTGAAGGCAGTTCCAAGACTCTCATCCGGGCCAGGATCATTTAGAACCTCAACACGCCTTGTACTATTCTTTCCCACCTCCAGAATTGCACCCCCTTCTAGGTTCTCGTCATCAACACATCTTAACATTGCCATAGCCACTTCGTCAGCTGTGGCCCATCCGTCTTTTTCCTGGTCTAGTTGCAGAAGCTTCTCTGGATGCTCAGTCCATAGCGGCGTCCGGATGATGCCAGGTGCGACAGCATTAATCCGTACACCAATCGCTTGATCGAGCGGTGCTAGACAGCGAACGAATCCCGTAATTGCGAACTTTGATGCACCATAAATGGGCGCGTTGAAGTTTGGTATCTGGCCTGCAACGGAGGAGATATGGATGATACGTTTTGAATTTTCGGGACTGACTGGCTCAGCAACCGGATGGAACGACGAGGGTCGGCTTCTCGGATGTAACCAGTAGGATAGAGCTAGCTGAGTTGTCCGGATTGGATGGGTGAGGTTGATATCAAGCAAATAATAGCGATTTGAATCCAGGCCATCCTTGCTTTCTGGGGAACCCGGGGGATGCCAAAAATTCGACCAATGCGGTTCATATATACCCGCTCCCGGACAAACTATATGGAAATCGCCGAACTCTTCCAGTGCAACTTCAAACATCTGCGTCAATGCTGCCCAGGACGTCACGTCCGTCTGAACAAAGACGGCCCGCGGTGACGATTGCAATCCCCCATACTGAGCGATGAGCTTCTCTGCTTCAGGCCGGAGGCTGAGATCCGCAATCACAACATTGCAATTCCGTGACAGTAACAGGTTGGCAAACGCGAGATTTATCCCTTGCTGCTTCAGCTTCCCGGGCGACGGAAACGCCCCTAGCTGGACAGGGACTTCCACTTACCTGAGCCTGCACCAGTCACTATTGCAGTTTTTCCGGATACTGCGAATGGCCTTCGTGCCTGCTTTTGAGACATATTCTCTTATGTTCTGCTATAAGCTGGTCGAGTGTCTTGGGCATCAATCACCGACGGGAGTTGAGACTTTCTGGGCAGTTCGGGGCCTACTTCTGTTGACAGAGTGAGATACGTTCGGATTATTCTCACAAGTGGAAGAGGGGAAGCATACTTTTCATACAGTCTGAATATTAAGGCTGAGACAGCACGCCAGGCTTTTCCAATAATGGGGCAAGCATGTTCCTTACTAATTGTAGGTCACTCGTTTATACACAACACGTCATTGGCGTCTTATCACGAGAGTGGACTATCCGTAGAGGAAATATACCCGAGCACCCTGCTGAAAGAAGGCGAAAAGAAATCCGTACCTACTTAAGACCGTGTGTGCACTGATTGGCTACTCCATGTCACATGTGCCCATCCTGCGAATAACAAGATTTTTCTCTTTTAAGAAAAAGGACCGAGATGATAACCCAACCCCTATTATTGACAGTACAGGTGAAACCCAGTTAGGCTGCTTGGTGCCAAGTTTCGAAGTGGCAAAAGAAGGGACTTTGGGTACATGCGCGGTTACGGGGGGTCTTCGAGCTTGAACCAGAGCACATCATGTACCTGCACAGTATTGCATTCATCGTCCTTGGATGGATATAGTAATTTTATCCTGAACTATGAAAGGCAGACCAAGTAACAGCCGAACACGGAGCGCATACCGGTCTAGAACTCAGCTTAGTATGGATTATCGATATTTTAGTAGCGAAGCGCAAGCTTATCCCTTGAGGAAACGAACCGAGGTACAGCCGTATAACGTTTTCTGCAATGCGAGCTTACTAAAGGCAAGATCGGATGGACCACACATCGTGCAGGATGGGCAGCCGGAAGAAGTAAGTCTTCCGATAGATATTCGGTTCTTATTCCGGAATTTAGTGTGCTGTTCGGGAACTTGACCACCTTGGTTTCACAAGGGAAAGGCGGAAGCAAGTCCCTCACAATGGGTTATATAAGCTTGGAGGGCTTTTTGGGCTGCAAGCCCCCGCGGTCTTTAAGGAAGCATCTGATATCAAAGTTGGTTTGCGAATAAGAATCCTAGTTGCGATGTGAACCACATGTTGTCTTATTAGAGGGGCTTGAAGATAATTTTATCAATAATGAAGGGTTACATGTTTGATATTCTTAGCTATTACCGCATTTTAATCTTCCTTGGCTCGGAACCCGTTATAGTCAGATGGTTACTCGGCAACAGATATTCTGGGTGTATGTACCCGGCGACGCTTCCGTCGGGAAGCCGAGTGAAGCAAATATACTATAAGCATCTGCGTGTAATACGCGCCATTTATTTAATTCACCAAATCAATCAAAGTCTTGATTAGTCTAGGCACTTATTAAACGCGAAAACTTACAGATGCAACAAAACATGTTTACTGCATCATCAAAGGTGCCGCTCCGTTTTGTAGATGTAAGCTCCTTATCCGCTCCAGGACCTCAGTCCACACAGACAACTTAACTTGAAGGCGCTGCAGGCTAATATGTTATAGGTTGCTGTCACCTACACCGCCGATCAATTTCACGGCATATATCGAGGCAACAAGTACCACGAGAGTGACTTTGCAGATGTTATCAAACGCGCGCAGCAATATGGTTGCGAGAAGATGATTCTCACCACAATGACCATGGCCGGCGCACATATTAACTTGCAACTGGCGAGGCAATATCCTCGTATCTGCACAATGACGTTAGGCGTACATCCCTACCACGTCGAGGAGATCTACGCTACCCAAGATGGCGGTGTATCGTATCTCCAAAGCCTTCGAGAACTCGGAACTCGGCTACTTGCCGAAACTCCTTCGTCAGTGGTGGCATTCGGCGAAATCGGACTGGACTATGAGTATCTCGACCGCGCCGACAAAGAAACACAACAACGAGCATTCTGCGACCAACTTAACTTAGCCGTGGACATGCAACTGCCACTCTTCCTTCATGTCCGCGACTCCTGCGCCGATTTTATAGACATCATTTCACCGTATATGTCCCGCTTTCCTCGTGGTGGGCTGGTCCATTCCTTCTCAGGATCCAGAGCCGAAATGGAACAGTTGGTCGGTTTAGGGTTGCATATTAGTGTGAATGGAATCAGCTTTCGGACAGACGATCAGCTGGAAATGGTGCGCCACATACCGTTAGACAAGCTACAGTTGGAAACTGATGCGCCATGGTGCGAGGTGCTGAGCAAAGATGAGAAGATCGCGTCATACTTGGAGACAGCACGCCCACTACCTCCCTCCCGGAAATATCAGAAGTTTATTGCGGGGCAGATGATCAAGTCGCGCAACGAACCTTGTACCATTGAGCGCGTTGCAATGGTCGTCGCTGGCCTCAAAGGAGTTCCGGTGGAAACTGTGGCGGAAGCAGCGTGGAATAACAGTGTGCGTATGTTTGGTTTAGATGCGAAATGTGATGGTGTATAAGGAGAGCAAAGTCAGGGCTTCAGTCACAGGCGTAGAAAACGCACTCTATCTAGGACGGATAAAAGCGTATATAGGAGAATGAAGTTATCATTGGTGTTGGCTGCCGGCCCACCCCTGGAGGATTGACTGGTTCTAGCCTCCCGTCCACGAGCTGATGACAATTGTCTGAATGAGCCGCTTCCACGACAGTCCAATCGTATATTTCATTGGTTACCTTATCCACCAAACCCAAACCCATAAAGGAACGCGAAACGCATCCGTCCCCCCGCAGCAACTTGAGTCTCGCGGAGGTTCTCCGCTTTTCCGGCGAAAGCAAGTGCGCGGATGTTCCAGGTACTTGGGGTCCCAATAATACGGCGCATTTTTCGTCTGGCGCGATTGCCTTCGAGCCTCCCTACGTAGTACGCATCTGAGGTGCTGCCTATATGCCAGTGGACAATGCCTACCCAAGTAAGCGCAGACGCACGAAGTTAGCATGATACGATGATGAAAATTCGCAACGCTCTCCGCCTGAACTACGAAGTCAGTGATCTCGACTACTACTGCAAAGTGCTCATAAAGATGTACTGGGACGACTCGACCACTCCAAACGTGATTGCGCGTATCGGCGACTTGTTCTGTCTTGGATAGTCTCTCCTATTTGTGGTGTTGGTTAAGCTGTCGGAGAAGAAGAAATTTGGTGGCACTGCAGCGTTCAGCTGCTACCTCACGATGCCCTTCAACAAACGTGCGCGTATCGAGATCGAGAACGAAAACGACGAGGCTTATTTTCAATCTTTCTATATAGACTATGAGCTGTATGCGGAGCCTCTCCCGGCCGATACGCTATACTTTCATGCACACTGGCGACGCATGACTCCCACCAATGGATGGGCATCGTCTCGCATTCAGAACGACAGCCTTGAGACCCAGATACCGAATTTCGATGGAAGGTTAACTACGTTATTTGGGAGACGGAGGGCGCTGGCCAGTACATTGGCTGCAACCACTCCATCGCGCACTTCCAGGGCACGTGGTGGGGCGAAGGCGACGACATGATCTTCATCGACGATGACACTTGGCCGCCGAGTATGAACGGCACTGGTGGAGACGATTATTTCACGCAAGGCTGAGGCATGCAGAAGACCGTGTATCCCTTCTGCGGAACTTTCATTCTCGAAGAGGACGTGCCCAACTACCAGGTCAGCTACCGCTGGCACCTTACGAATCCCGTGCGCTTCAACAAAAAGATCAAAGTAATCCTGGAATCTGGACATGCCAACGATTTGCGCGTAATATTGTGATCATCTGTGAGGACATCCGCTGTCGTTTCGTACAGGGCCTGGAAGTGTAGGCCTGGAGGTACTAGTTTTGAGTAGAGTCACATAGCTTGTTCCAATATATATTCGCGCAAATCTCAGATATGGAGTCTCGAAGTAATTGGCCATTAGGAAGGATTAAGCCCACCTTGATAAGCTAATGTCCAGATAGGTCCCCGGCACACTGGCACCCAATGGCTCCTTACCGTATAGCCTAGAAGAAAGCCATGTCCTCCCGGTGCCCCTCATCATTGTGGCCCAGCTGTAATCTGTATTGGGGGTCCGGCACCTGGCTAGCAATCCACGCTTTTTCCTAGACGGTCGCGGCCTGAAAAGGCCTCAGAGTATCGCACTCCAAACTAGACCAACTAGAATTTAAGTCCCGCATCTTTTCTTAGCGGCTAGTGTCTATTGGGCTTTCCTTTTTCTTACATCGCAGTACAAGACACAAGCTGCCCTGAGTCGGACATGTTGTGACCTTATTGCCTGGTCGCTCGGCTGCTTTACCGGTTTCAATCGGTCAATAACAGGAAATCCAACCGACAACCCCCTCTTTGTGAAGTTCGCTCAGCTCATTCGCTGAAACTGTATGCGGAATATCCTTAAGTCATAAGATATTACCTATAGGTAATACGGATGATCGGTTCCAGCCGAAGCATGTGGTTATCGGATTTGGCTGCTCCCTAACCCAGTCCTGGCCGAGATTACTAGAACAGACTAGAAAGGAAAATGTCGCGAGGATATCCACTCCAAGTCAACTGTAATTGGCACGGAGGCGTGAGATCTCAACGCTTGGAGAAATCTTACCACCGCCTTCCCTTCCAGTCTGTTAAACAATGATCGCTACCGGTTATCCGTGATTGAACGAATCGTATGGCAGGTTGATAGTTTCCTAAACCGCCACTGCAGCCTAACGCATTTTAGCATGAGTCGAGTTAGATTTGGTTAGAGGTGGGTCGTCTAGCAAGACATTTCGGTACAACGTGACCCAGGAGTATCCTCAAAGTTATCGGCACATTCTACAGCATATCTCCGGCTAATCTGAGCTTCTTTGTTATTCTTTCGCGTGTGTAATTGATATTCCGGCTTCTCTGTTCGAAGACGGATCATCTTTCGCTACGTTAATGAGAGAATACCCAACGACGCCGCAGAGAGATTAGTTTCCCTCCTTAGAATCAAGGCCGAGCACTTGACAAGTTCATTTCAGAAGCAAGCAAGAACAACACAACAATCAATTTCTTATCAATGCATATTCTGGTATGTTTACATGTGGCACGGCTTCTAGATCTTCTAGGACCTTGGCTGATCAACGAAATAGCTTGTTAACGATGATGGGCCGCCGTCTCCCGAAACTTCTCCCTTTGTCCTCGCGCTCTCGCAAGCTTTGCAGTCGGCCGGGCATACGATTTCAGTCATCTTACCCAACCAGCAGAGATCCTGGATTGGCAAAGCACACATTATCGATACTATAGTTACAGCCACCCCTTTCTGTCCCACACCAGTCCACCGGCATGAAAGTAATGCTGCTCATGTGCCGCCGGACAATATCTGCGGCGAGAAGAGCTGGATTCTAGCGAACTCCACTCCCGCAGGCTGTGTACATCTAGGAATCTATCACTGTTTCCAAGACCGAGTACCTATTGACCTAGTTGTTTCCGGTCCCAACCTTGGCCGTAACTCCACGACGGTATTTTCGCTCTCCAGCGGGACAATCGGGGCCGCGATGGAAGCAGCAATATGTGGTAAACGAGCTATCGCCTTGTCGTTCGCCGTCAAAACGGACAACTTTGATTCCGCCGCTATTTATGAGGCATCGACTCATTCGGTGCGGTTGATTGAGCACCTCTACAACATATGGGCGGATGATGTGGACCTGTACTCCATCAACGTACCTTTGGAGGTCAGAGTAAGTATGCAGAAGATTATGTATACAAGTATCTCTAAGCGCCAATGGCCTTCTGGGGGTGCTTTCTGTGCTAAAAGCGAGGGACAACGCTCCGTCAATGGTAGGAATGAGCACATGCAATTTCAGTGGGCGCCACAACTCCATACCATACGTGACGCAGCTAAGGGAAAAGGGCCCGGAAACGATGACTGGGTGATCGAACAGGGAATGACCAGGTGAGGATGTACACTTGCACTAGGTTTCACTTAAAGTGCTAATGCCGTTGTTCAGTGTCAGCGCCCTTCAAGCAAACTTCATGCATTCATCCAGGAATGAAGCCGAGATTATTTTGCCACGGTCTAAGTAGAGATTATACTTATAATTCTGAGTCGAGAAGCAAGAGTTATAGCATATACAAGGGCAGGAATAAGAGAAAAATATGACAATAGCATAGCATATTGAATCAAGGTCTACTATTTGAAGCTAGGAGCATCTGGGTTTCTATGTGCTGCTGTTCGCTGCGAGAATCAGGATTTGTAAATTGGTCAACGGTTTACTTTGCAAGGGCCAGCAAGTTGCTCGGCTTCAGTTAGCAAGTGCTTCCTTGCTCATCCACTAGGGTGGACGGGACAAAAGTCTCCCAGGCGCGACAGATGCACATAGTCTGCTCCTTTATAAAGACGGTAACACAGACGATATAAGTTAAAGTAATAGCCACTTTTCCGATATAGAGGACATGGGCAGGAACACCACCTTTGAAGGAGATGTGTGCAGACTAGACTCCACTGATTAGAGTAGCCAAGTCCGCCAGCTAATGAAACATCCACGGCATCCGAATTAATAGCCGAATTGGGTTATCCAAACGGTCAGACGTTCGGAGACTGTCTTGTACACGATAGCCGAGTAATAATTCTTGAAATCGCCGTATGCTTCCATGAGCGGATAGAAGCCAACCGCCACTGGTGTGGTCTTCGGGTACGTACACCCGGTTTCTCCTCCTCTCTTTCCAGTCCTACATTCTACTCCTCCGGCGACACCCCCTTCTTGGGATATCCGATACGAAGACCTCAGATATCGCATGTCATCAAGAACAGTAAAGGCTGTTTTAATCAGTATTTTACAGATCAGAACGGTCATATCCCGTCACCCACCGGCGTACGCCGGGTCGAGATTCCGGAATCTAGACTCTCCTCCCATATCGATTACCGTGTGGTACACTGGCCCTAGTCTAGTATATAACTATACCAATGGTGTCAATGGTTTTCGTCATTTCCTCTAGCACTTCAATTGGAACAATAAAAGACTTTTGTTCGATCTCATATCCATACAAGACGCCATGTCCGCCGGACTCACTAGCATATCAACTTCAAAAGCATGTCCAGGTGAGTCATGCCTTCGCTGCATGGTGAGCCTTTAGAGAACCGTTGAACTGACTCGATAATGGCGTAGCAATTGGACCCTATGTATGACCCCTGACCGTACACAGACTCAGGCCATAAGTCCCTTGGTGAAACTACAAGTGTATCAGGCTAATAAAACATATTGAAGTCGCAAGCAATGGTTGCTGGACCATTCATCTTTCTTTCCGGTCAGATACCTATCGATTCAAACGGAGTGCCACTAGAAGGAAGCATTTCGGATAAGACCCACGCATGTTGTAGAAGCGTTCGGGCAGTGTTGGCAGAGGCAGGAAGTGATATCAGTCGAGTCGTCAAAGTCACTGTATTCCTGAACGATATGGATCATTTTTCGGAGTTCAACGCGGTTTATGAGCAATATTTCAAGCATCGGCCGGCTAGGAGTTGTGTCGCTGTGAAAACTCTACCCCGCAACTTGGAGGTCGAGATTGAATGCGTGGCTCTTGCAGCTGGTCAGGGCTCTCGCCTCTGAAGGATTATTTCATATTGTACTTGAGCTTCATATAATGCATATCAGAGATGCCTTGTGGGTTTCGCTATTTCTGCCTTATTCATTACCTAGAATAGCATTGATTAAAATAATGATCAGATCAATTCATCTCTTTTTCTGCAGCTGCCCATTGGATCTGCCTCATAACTCTTATAATTACTATACCATATCATTCCGATGGCTTTACTCCCTATGGCTAGGTTCTTCTATTACAGCAGGCGATATAACTTCGAGAACATCACTGGGAAATCACTGAACTTCGGATTATTTACATGAAAAGGCCTTGATTGCATTGCTGTCTAACTACTCGTCAGACAAAGGGGAAGGCCAATACATGATTCGCATATGCGAGAACCGGTCTCCAACTAAGGTATATGCCGCCATGAACCGAAAACGCACTTTTTCACCCTTCGTGAACGGATAGAAGAAATGATTTTGGTGTATCCTCACGGCTAACAAAGTGCCCGTCAAGCTCAGCCAGTATGGTATTTCCAGTCCGAGCCCAGGAATGAATGTGGAGGGCTTCACTGATTCCATCATGGGCTGCCTCCAATAGCCTGATGACTTCCTCACGTCCCTTGGTCCTATTCTTTCCATCTTCCAGAATCACATCCTCATTAAAAAATCGCAGGGCCGTGGCTCGCTCCGCATTTGCAGTGTTATAAGACTCAATATAAGCCGAGTAGTCCATGGTGTTCTCTTATTCTGCCGCAGGACAATGTGGGTAAAAGGAATATTAGGCTGTCCAGCATTCACTATATATTTCTATATTAGCAAGCTCCGTGCAGATCTGATGAAAAAGGACTTACATACCTGATAGAATACAAATGCGTTGAGACTTGCTTGAATCCAATGGATGAGGGATTAATTAACATAGTCCTCGACCTATATATATATGAAGCTGAAACTCACTTTACTCTTTTAGCTGTCGGTATAGTCGTATGCTAACTGTAAAATGGCGGTCTAATCCTCCTTTGCGGCGCTGCTCATGCAGAAAGTGGCGCCCCACCGCCTGTCAGCGTTCCACAATCCGAAGATTTCTGTCGCTGCCTCATGGTAAACCGGTGGCTACGGACTTCGTACTACGGAGACATTGAAGTGATGCAGGCTTAATGCTCTAGGTGTCAGGTCTTTCTTGACTTGAAAAGCCCCGACTCTAGCAAGCTGTGGTAACGTCAATCACCGTGGGGACGCCCCACATCTAGTTTTATTAACGTTCGAGACGATCTTGTCTTCGTTCCTCCGCTTTTAGCATGTACACACGCCCAACCACCCATTGTCGATGGCCGAGCAAGCTTGGAGCAGTATGGTCTGGTAATCCGATCGGGAATGAGGCCATGCGGAATTAAACTTGGATGAATGATCGACTTGACCGTTGAATGAACATGTGGAGCGCCACATCTCGGATTAGACTCTTCTAGTGTACACAGCGCAACAACGGGGAAAGCGCACATGCTGGATACAGAGATGACATTTAAATGCGTCGTGCCTATCAATTCTCTATAAGTTTGAGTTTGCATCTACGCTTCAGCCATGGTTCTACAATAATTGTGTCCTTATCCTGCTATCTGTAGTGAAGCTTATTCCACGGCCCCGCGTAATGGCCATCCTCTCATGGGAATGGTCTAGAGATCCACCGGCGACATGCTGGCTCCAAAGACTTGCGGTTCGGAAAGAGTCAGTTCTACTTCCCGCTTAGCTAAGCGGCACGGGACCCCTTCACACCGCAGCCGCAACCGCGCTTTGATGCCCAGCTGGCGCTCGGGGGAAAGTCAGTATTTAGGAGAGCTCAGTCGTGCATTCTTGACTGGTCTCCACCAGGTATTCGATAAGCATGGCCCCCAGCTCAGAGAAACCGTTCGCCTGTTCTTGGTGTGATGTCCGCTTCACAAGAAAGGAACATCGGACTAGGCATGAGCAAGCGCGTCAGTGGCTTCAATCCATCCGTATCCGAGTCAAGTCACTTGCTGACAGTAGTTAGATTTCCCTAGGCGACAATTCAAGTGCTCGATATGCCACAAAGACTTCTTGAGAAAGTAAGACTCTCACTCCGCGGCCATGCCGACATTTTCAGACAGAATGTTCAATGGATTAGAGACGTGCTTCTACGACATGCGAGGTCGATGCACGACTCAACACGAGGAGCCGGAATGCAACAGATCACCGATTGCACTACACTCATGGATAATAGGGGTTCCAACAAGTGCACTTCGCCTGTTGGAAATATGGATGTTGCTGCGCCTCCGGATGCCTACGCAGTCAATGGTGATGCCTTTGCAGTGCATGCTGGGGAACTCTCTCCTCACCCCCCGGGAAGCAACGAGTCAGAAATCTGCCTCCTGAATGATGTTCTGAACTTTGACTTATTCGTGCAAAACTTGGAACCCCTAACTTGCATGGTCGGGAATGACGTGGTAAGTCCATTGAACGCCGAACAGAAGAGTGTGGACAGCTCCCCAAGTCGAACAATGGGTTTAGTCTACTATCTTGAAGATAATTGCAACGTCAATATTCCAAGTGAGATTGGCCAGTATAACGGGGGTATACACCAGAATACACGAATTGCAGAAGATGGGTCGCAGTATTACCGGCCGACGAAATATGCTGCTCAACGGTAACTCCGGGCCTTTTTTGATTCCTTTCAAAGACATATATCAATCTTACACGTACCAACCTATCTCACACGTCAACCACCGGAGCCATTGGAATTGGCAGTGTTTGCGGTTGGTGCTCTTCATGCGTTCAATCAGGCGGCTGCATGTGATGCATACCGTGCCGCACACGAGAAACTTTTGAAGGAAGCCTCCACGCTAGCGCCCCTTGAGAGACTGCAAACACTACTTCTACTCACAATGTTTACCAGCTTTTCGGATGAGCCGAGTTTACGGGCGGAGAGTATACCTCTCCAAGGCCGACTAGCAGCGGTTAGTATCCTAGCCACAACTGGCATAGAGATGCTCAAAGAATTCAGGAATTGCGTGACTGTCCACGCGATGTTTCGTCATGTGAGTGTGCGTCTTGGGATGTGTGGGTGAGGAGGGAGTCGATGAAAAGGTCGTCAATATCCCAACTTTCTGCATCGTAGGCTAATACCTAAAGGCAGGGCGATTCTGAACATCATTTGTTTTCTTGGGATAATGAACGTGTCTCACTTGTCATCGACCATGTTTCTGCCACCCAGTTTTGATATTGAGCTTCCGTACTCAGAGGACCTCTGGACCTGCAACAGCGGGGAGGAGTGGGGACGGCTCTTCAGTACAACACCACGACCGCAGTCTTTTACGGTTGCCTTCCACAACCTAACCTCACTGTCCGGGTCCATCCAGCAAAATGACTCCGGCCTGACCCACCTTGTTTTGATGATTGCCCTACATAGCCATGCTAAATCTTGCAGAACTCTTGCAGCCTCGCTCCCGGAATCTCTCAGCCAGGAGATGATCGAGACAAGCGTATCCTCTCTAAACCACTGGCTGCTGTGTTTTGCGGAGTCTGGAATCTTGCGTCCTCGGCAGCACGCGTGTGCGGACTGTTCCCTCGCTGCGTCGGCGTTGATCTTGTGGAAAAATACTATGATTCAACTATGCGCTGATCCAGCATCAGTTATGGATGTTCAGAATGCTGTCTTAGCGCTGTCTATGGGCCATGAAGCAGTTCCGCAACTGAACCCTGCTTACAAGCCATACAGCGTCGCGCCAGCAATGAGCCACGCCGTTTCGTTTATTCAGGGACCCATTGTCCGTGGCGTTCAATTTCTACAGGCAACCTCTTGTGCCAGCATCAATATATATAACGGCTTGCTGGGATTTCACGGTATTGTTCTACTCGTGAGATGGTTATCCAGTCTGGAAGCCCCCGATGAGCAAATAAACGACCAGGCCTTGCACCCTGACGAGTGGGCGTTGCTCCAAGATATTCGGGTACTGGTCACTGAGTCAGATCTACCCTCGCTAGAAAGTCTCCCACTGAGCGCCGCCTGTGCCCGGATTTGGGCGGAAACCCTGCATTCTGACCGTCAAATCTGGGGAGTAAGGAAGATTTTGCACGCGTATCTTCAGAAGTTAATATAGCTGAATTCATGCCTTCCGAGTCCCGGGCACTGTACTCCAACATATATTTGCCGTTGGACCTAAGCATTACTGGAGCGCTCTGTATCTACCTAAACTCAAAAGCTTTGATACTTCCTGTCCGGTGGCTGACGTGTGATCGCTCCATACTAAAGGATTTTGATGACTCGCACAGAATCTGGGGCGGAATCCTGTACGTTATAATCAGACGGCTAGGTATGGTAACCTCTCAGCTGGGCACCGTGATTCACGGCTGGGAAGATTACCAGCAATCAGCCTACGCGCTCATTAGTAAATTTCAGATTAGAGACTGCTAGTCATCTGATAATTAGCAAGAAATCGCCTTATTATCCATGGGCTCGAAAAACCACATACACCCACGACACCCTTGCCTTTTGTACTCTTCCGAAAATGCCCACCGTGGAGAAACGAGAGTTGACTGGATGTGGACTTTGCCCTAAAACATCATTCAACCCTTGCTTGACAACTTCTACCTGCTCGGCCTTAAGGACAAAGAAAGCTCTCGTGTGATTTCCCTCCAAAATTTCCCTTGTGAAGGGGACTATTTAAGAAAGAGTCTTAGAGATCCACGCACTATTATGTTTATTATTATATTTGCATCCTGTGAGATATCTTATGTCTGTATCTATGGTCTACCACAGTTGACATTTCTATATCGTTACCAAGACCGAGACATGTGTGACTAGGATATTTTATACGGTATATAGTATCCAAGTTATTGATCAGCCGGAATGCAGCTGCAGTCTGATATGGAATTGATGTATATAGTAGGAAGAGCAAATTGCGAACTATATACTGCTCTTGTCCCTTATAGAGCAGCATTTTTTAGCATTGTCTATGCCATGCATATAGAAGTGTTATATTAGAATATTTTAGATTCATTATGTATTCAACAAACAGTTTCTTGAGCAGGGATATGGTACAGGGATTTGAGTAACTGAGATGGTGAGAGTATATATAGATTGCTATGTTTTCAATGTAGATACAGAAAGCAGGAGTTCACCGGTGCTAGAAAGTCGCGGCCCTGATCACTTCTGAAACTATACGGTTTGTGGTCGGTTTATGAAGAGACATGGTACATGCCGACGACTAGGGCGCTGAGCCATATAGGTAATTAGCGGAAGGCCTGTGTACAAGTTTGGTCACAGGTAGCCGGTGAGGTGTTGGCACATACTGTATTTGGATCTCCTTATTGAACATCCTCTAAAAGATCCCGTTATCGTTCTTCGACTGACCGGGGACTTGCGAAATTGAGTCCCAGTGCTCCACAAACTCTCCATCCTTGTATCTCAGCATATCGAAGACATTCAAGCCAAGATCGCCCTTCCACCGTACAACATGACTCTGAAGAACCACGTAGTCTCCATCAATAAGGATCCGCTTGAATCTGATGTCGGGCCTCTCAGCCGTGTGTCCTGTCAAGTCTTGGATCTTTTTGTTCGCCAATTGGCTGAATTCAATGATCGACTCGGGCCCGTCGCCCACTTCGGGGTTGTGCTGCTTATACTCTCCGCGAAGCAAGGAGCGGGTTGTATCGTAGTCAAAGTAGACAAACGTGGCAAGGAATAATTTGAGGCACTTCTTGATGATAGCCACCTGGGTAGCGGTGTGGGGCGGCTGGTCAGCAAGCGCTGCGTATCTCAACTCGACTTCAGCTTCGAGGTCAACCATTATGAAGAACAGAACACGTAACGAGGAATGAATTCACTGGTGCTGGATATTAGGTGAACGCTCCTGACAGATATATAAATGTCTGTATCCAAGGAAATGGCTTGTGGTGGCGCCCAAGCTATCCGCAAGGTGGCGTTGTGGTGCCGCAGCCCCACGGACACCCGAGTGTTGGGTGGGTTGAAGAAGAAGTACGCCTGCCGAGAATTACAGACGAGAACGATCTTATCTGACTGCAGTCTGTAATTCTCTTGTAGGTGTGATTACTTCCCCATCTAATAAAAGCATAGCTCACGTATCTGCGCGCAATGCGTTGGGTGGAGTTCATACCGCGAGGCGTTGAAACCAGAGTAGATAATCTATAGACCGCAGGGAGTACGGACGCGAGCGCTTTGTATTTGGCGGTAGTCTCAAATAGGAAAGGGGACCATTATAGCACAATGAAGGCCGTGCAGATATTTTTTTTCACCCCCACTGTTCTGTACCAAAGGGGATAAGCAAGGTGGGAGACTACTTAGGGGATATTTGCTTGCATGGCCTGCCACCGGACTGGGAATGTCAAGTGGAGCCCCATACAACGTGTGACAAGACTGAGGATCTGGCTCGAGCAGAACTGTGTGAATGCCGTATGTACTGCAAGAGCTTATCGGCTGACTTTGCATCACTCAGAACCTTTTGAGATCAACTTCGCGGAAGCGGGGCCCCGCTTATGGCTCGATTAACTTTTGCAACCCCAAACACCCCCTCCTTTCGATCTTATATATAGCTCTTCAGCTCATCAGGTTTTTTTGGTTTCACAAGACTCACCTCCATAGAGTGATACTATTCCTTCCTTGATTCTGTTCTCAAAGAACGTATTAAGCTGCTCGCAAGAATCTCTTCGTGATACATTATGGCTTTACCATTCCCGGATATTCCTTGGTTGCAAGGATTTGACAAGCCTTGTCGTTTTGAAGGCGAAGTTCGGGATCTTATTGTTCATGGCGAGGTGCCAAGAGAATTGGATGGCACCTTCTTCCGTGTGATGCCCGACCCGCATATCTCGCCTTCTTACTATGAAAATGGTACGCATTACATACCGTTTGATGGTGATGGGAATGTCAGTGCTTTCAGAATCAAAAATGGGCATGTCGATTACAAGCAACAGTATGTGAAGACGGAGAGGCTCATGAAAGAGAGACAAGCACGCCAGTCTCTGTGGGGTCGATACCAGAATCCCTTTACGAGTCATCCATGCGTGAGGAGCGCCATGGAAAGCACAGCGAATACAAACGTCATCTACTACAATGGCAATCTTCTTGCCTTGAAGGAATATACTCTTCCGTACTCACTCGACCCAGTCACTTTAGAAACGCGAGGGTACTGGAATTTCAACGGTCAGATATCATCCAGATCATTCACAGCCCACCCCAAAGTCGACCCGAAGACTAAAGAGCTTGTGTGCTGGGGTACACAAGCAAAGGGACCCGGAACACGAGATTGCTGTTACTTTGCTTTTGGTCCAGATGGTAAAAAGACTGAGGAGTGCTGGTTCCAAAATCCATTCTGCGGTTTTCTGCATGATGCCGGCGTATCTGAGGACTTTATCGCTCTGATGCTGGTCCCAATGCGCGTCGACATGGGGAAAATGGAGAAGGGGGGATCGCATTACTATTATGATTTTGACCTGGATCTACACTGGGGTCTAGTCCCTCGACGAGGTTCTGATGCCTCAAAAGTCAGGTGGTTTAAGTGGAAAAATAGTTTTCCAACCCATACAGCGAACGCTTACCAGGAAATCGGGCCCGACGGAGAGGCAAAGGTATTTGTCGATACCGTACTCGCTCATGGGAATGTCCTGCCGTTCTTCCCCGAGGAAAACCGCAAGAATGATTCACCAACGATCGAATCCCTCAAGTTTCGTCTGGTTCGTTTTTGCTTTGACCTGAAAGATGAAAACCCTACAGATGGAAGTTACATCAAGGTTCCCGATCCGGAAGTGCTTCTCGACATTCCTTGTGAATTCCCGCGTATCGACGACAGATTCCTGGGTCAGAAACAGAAACTTATCTTTTGCGCTACCGTTAAACAAGATATGCATTCGGACTCAAAGAGCCTGGTTGGATCTGCCGGGCTGAATACCTACACGATGGTGGATTTGTCCCTCGGGAAAGTGGAACATTGTCCATTTGGACCTAGTTCCGTAGTTCAAGAACCCTGCTTTGTTCCTCGGTCAGCCGACGCGCCGGAAGGAGACGGTTTTTTGATTGGCTTAGTGAATCGTCTGGATACAATGTTGACCGAACTGGTTATCATTGATACCAGACATTTCTCCAACCCAGTAGCCGTGGTAGAAATTGGACTTCGGCTCAGGCAGGGCTTGCACGGTAACTGGGTCAATGCAGCCGATATGGAGTAAAGAAGTTCTTATCTTGATCCGAAACTTTACCGCCCAACCTCCCCACCCTCGTGCTCTTGTCTGTATCTATCCGGGATGGGTACAGTTTGCTGCTCAGGTAGAAATGTGACGAAACCAAACGTCACAAAGCCTACTGATCACTAGGAATTTGCCGCCTGTGTTGTTGTTCTTACGTTTATATAGCTTACAATCTTACTGTCCTTTGAAGACATTATCGACAAAGTAAAGCATTATAGATTGAAGGTATATTCGTCCTCCTAACATCTTTGGAACATTCTTTCTCATATAAAAGTTCGTGGACTGTAGGTCAATTATCGTCTCAAGCCTCGGGGTCCGCCGAAGCTGGGCAAACCTGATCGTGTGACTAAAATCCACTAGTCCAAGGAGGTAACGATATCTATTCTGAGAGGGGACGGCTCCCGAGAACTGAAGCAAGGTTCTGGAGAACTAACACAATGATCCTAATATTCGATGCAGCAGAGATACAATAGGTATCCAAAAGTCTCGGTACACTTAAAAATCCTTAAATTTTTAATAACAATAACTCTCTCAAATTTGTTGATATAGTTTTATAATTTAATATATATATATAGATGAATAGTACCTCTTTTATACTGATTAAAAGAATTATACAAATAATACTTAATTAGATAATAATCTTAATATATTTTAATTTAATTCTAGATTTTTCGAAGCAAATATTGCAAAATATTTATATAAGAATATTTTTTTTATTTATCTGAAATATATGCCTTTTTCTGGTACAATAATATATCATATATTTGTTGTTTTATATAAAAATCAAAAAATATGTTGTGGTGATTTTTTAAAAAATATAATATAAATATTTTTAATTTTCTTTAAAACTTTCGTATGGAGTTACATAGAAAATATATATTTTTCTAATTTTATTAAATTTAAATAACAGTTTCACAACCAAGATATCTAAAAAGAACATAATACTAGAATATTATTTAATTAATATTTAATTATATAACTAAGCTCTTAAAAAATATAGTATCTTATAATATTATAGAGATAATTACACTCAAAGTAGGTAAGTTTTGGTGTGACTTAGCGGGATGTCCCGAGACTTTTGATACTATAGTGTAGAAGCAAGGCCAGGGGCATCGTTGTGATTCAAAGCAAGATTGATTACTATTACTCACAGCCGAGCACTTGGCATTAGAGATAAGATATATAGCAGATTGGTCAGAAATACTATTTTGGTCTACAAAGATCACTGGGCGCCGACAATATAGTGAAATCAGGGCAGCGCCCATTGAAGAACAAAAGTGGTCTAACAATCCTGACAGGGATGGAACAGGCTGCTGGATAATGCTTCAATTACCTCAAGGACTAAGAAAGAACTGCAGGGCTGTCTTAGGGATTTCAATCTTACTTGTACCAATTCAAGCCCCGCGTGCTTGGATGCTGGCCCCGAAGAAACATGGGCTTGTGAAATCCTCTGCGTTGGATGGGTCACGGTGACCAAACAGGAGCAAGGGTCTGCCTGTATGCAAATCACAATGCGAGAGAGCTGATAAGCCTTTTTATATCGTTGACTAATCGAAGACAGGTTGGTACCCTGTCGGGAAGCTGGCAGCTCGTCCGGTAAGAAGGGGGACAATCAGGCGCAGGCGGGTCCCGATGCCAGCTCGTTTGACGCTCTTCTAATAACTGCACTAGTTTTATAAAACAGAAGTCGTTGCTGCTAACGCCGAATATCTCTGCTTTCAGAACCTTGCGCATAATGGTTCTCCATTCTGTAGGCACAAGATTCACCGAGAATAAAGAAGTGTGGCCTAGCAGATTGGCATGGTATGAACCATCTTGATCGACGTTAGAAAATCGCACTTGCTTATGCTCGCCGTTACTGTCGAGACGTTTTGTCTCTGTATCAATTGTTTTAAGTATTCTTTCATAACACTCGCCGACGCACAGACAGACCACACCCAAAATGACGGAATTTTGAATGATCGCAAAATAGCGTAATGGGCAGTGCTGGCAATTCAGAATCATAAATGCTTTTCGAACGGTTTCACGCAGCAAGTGCAGGTCTTCTGGGACGATTAGCTGAGATTTAAGGCGAAGCTGTTCTAACAATAGATATTGTTCAGAAAGACATGCGCATGTATTTGTTGATGGCTGGCTAACAGTAGCCGCAAGCAAATCCCTGTCCGGCTCGGGGTATAACTGGTGTGGAGGCCTATTGTCAAGCTAAGAGTCAGTGGCAAAGGACGCGTAAGTATAGCTGGTTCTTCATACATGTGGTCAATGCGATTTCTTTCGGTCATAGGTGTACAGTACGGCAGACCACCATCCTGTCCCGATCGGAGCTGAGTCAGAAAAGTGAATTGGTCCGGTTGGACCGTTGCGATATCTCCATGCGATTCAGGTGAGGCAGCTACGCGATTGGTAGGCGACGTGGAGTTCTCACGTGAAACTGGGTGAGTTACAGGCCGTTGGGGACAAGTCGGTTGCTTGCGCTTGGATCTGGGTCTCCCTAGTGGCATACGGGATGAATAACAACAGTCCTTGTTCGCGGAAGCGCATCTGGAGCAAACGGGACGCTCGCCGGAGCATCGAACCTTCCTCGTCCCTGCAGCTGGCAGTCAGTCGGGCAATCCTTTGAATAAGTTGAGCGAAAGGAGCCATACTACAAGGGTCACATGAGCCTCGGTAGGGTTGAGCGCTGCGGTCCACTTCACTTGAAGTCGGTTGACCTCCAGAGACAAGTTGCTGTGAGTCCATGTTGTATGAAGAACATATTTCCAGGTTCCCAAGAAGTGTCCGTCGGCGGCATTTTAGGGAAAGTTTCCGCCTGGGACCACTTTACGTCAGCCGCCAAAAAAAACTCTCCGAGAAGGTTCGTCACTAAGGCAAAGGCAAGCGGGTAATTGGGGACGGCCTCGGAAACTTTAAAAGTGTCCGAGACAAGGGTCTAGGCTCTCATCATTAATGATCTGCCCACCGATGGCCCGAGTCTGAGCCTATCTGTTGGTATCAGTCGAGCATAGTAGCTCTCCCTGGTATCATCCTGCTATGTACTGCCATACACCTTGTGTAGCTGGCACCCAGGCCACCAACTTACACAGAATCGTTGCCTGAGGATAGCAGCTATCACCTTATAAGAGACCCTCTTATTCCTACCATTCCACATCAGTTTCCCAAGGGAAATTATAACACCAGTTCTCGACGCACCCATCTGGCTCACGGCTGGGACAGGTTCAGGTTATAACGTACTGTTCATAGTCCAATTGCCCCTCACCTTGACACACGAGCCCTGGCTAATGCAAGATATGATGTACGACGCTCTCATCATTGGTGGCGGTCCAGCTGGACTGGCAGCGGCAATGTCCCTCGGGAGAGCCTGTTGTAAGACTGCCCTTTTCGATTCTCAAGTGTACCGTAATGGAGGGGTTACTATGATGCACAACGTTCTGCGGCATGACGGGGAAAAGCCGGAATTTTATCGCGCAACTGCGGTTGAGGAGATCATGGACAAATACGATACCGTCTCCTTCATCGACACGCATATAACCACAGCTCGACATGTTGAAGAGTATCCGAAGCGGCCCTTCTTCGAGCTCAAGGATGAGAGAGGTAACACCTGGCTGGGACGCAAGTTGGTTTTAGCGACGGGGACGGAAGATGTCCTTCCACCGGTAAAAGGCTATAAGGAACTCTGGGGCCGTGGAATGTACGTCTTATACCGCCGGATATCCAGGGTACCATGTAACAAAGCTGACTTTTCGTGACTCGCAGTGTCCATTGCCTATTTTGCGACGGATTCGAAAAACGCGGTGGCCATGTGGGCGTATTCCGCTTCGAAACAGCGACTGAACTGATCCCTCTTCTCACTGCGCTTCCCCTTGCCGGCAACCAACAACTCACAATCTTTACAGACGGAGACATCATTGACGCCAATAAGGAAATACAACATGCCCTAGACATAGCAGCAGCTCGAGGTGCCAAATTTGATAAGCGGGAAGTCACATCCGTTTCCGAGAATTCGCACACAGCTGGCATTCGGATGCACTTCAGCGAAGGGCCTGATCAGGATCTCCGGATGCTCATACACAGTCCCCCTAATGTTAATCGTGGCGCGGATATTATAGCGAGCCTCGGTCTTGAAACTCAACCAGGGCCTGGCGGCCATGTTATCACAAAGACTGCCATGCGCGAGACTAGCCTTCGTGGATGTTTCGCGGCTGGCGACACCTCAACCTCCGCTAAAATAGTCTCGGTTGCGTTAGCCACCGGTAAGTTGACTTCGGTCTTCAAGCCATACTCTGATCCCGTGATCAACGGCTGATGAATCATGCTCAAGGATCACTTGCCGGTATAGGAGCCGCGAAACAGCTTGCTTATGATAAAGGTCTGGAATCATTACAGGTATCAGTTGAAGGAGCAAAAAAGTCGCGTGGAGTCTTATAGAAATCGAATAATTGCCGTCAATCGCCCATATCTAGGCTGGTTAAATTACAGGCCCTCGTCTGTCTGAATGTGTTAATATATCTACTTTCTCTTAGACGCTGGTCTTTATAGTACCGTTCAAAAGCTATCTCCGGAGCAGAAACTTGTAGTTCTCAACTGTAAATCTACCTGCCCCTCTTTACCAATTCAACTGCGAAACGCTTACCCTGGCACCGTGGGTCGTGACTAGGCACATCGTATCACGAAAATTCAAAGGTTATACCCAGTTCGCTAGCTAGATTCCCCTTATACTATGATTGAGTATGGTTGTTTCTTTTTCCTTCTGCCTACTCTCTCATGTGAAGACGGCGACAGGGTGTGTTTCAATTGACGCTAACCGAGCAGGATATTCAGAACAAACGTGGAGGGGTGGACTCTTAGTACAGAATAGACAGAATAAAACAATGATATGCCATCAAGACGAGTCAAACGGCACCTCGCAGCTGGTGAATTCATTAACAATTGATCAAAAACAGACGAGGCTGCGACGCCACTTAGACAGCCAGGTGGAATGAAACCTTCGGAAGCGATAACTAGATGTAAGGAAGTATTTAAGCCGTATTTTCTTCATAGAATGGCAGAGAGATATTTTGTGAACATTACAATGACCCGAAAGCAAAATATTGGCATCAACTAGCCCTATACCGCCAGAATACAAAGCGAAAACCAACGCGCAAAGCAGGCATTTCGAAGGGCTATACTATTCTGCTTCCAGACTGTACGAGCAGCTATTCAGAACACTGTATGCATGAGAATGACATGTGCAATTCCGACGAGGCTCGGTAATGGGGCTCTCCTCTACTTCACAGTGATCAATGCAACCGAATGCTGGGGCATAGCTGTGCAGAGTCGCAGTGGCTGTGTAACGGTAGCACATACAATTCAAAATGTGCTGCTAGATAGCTGTATCTCTCTTTAATCAATTCCATTGGCATTGATGCTTAAGAGGCTCAGGTCCTGCTGTATGGGGGGATTGGACCACATCCGCATTGAAATTGCTGGCTATTAAAAATCTGAAGGCATCCTCCAGAAGTCGGAAACCCGGTACCGAAAATAGAAGGACTAGTTATGTCGCTCATGATGGACAGGAGCTGCGATATATGATTTTTAATACATGCATAGCAATTGACATCCCGTGCGTTACGGCTCAAGAACTGCAATACTCAGTTGAGCACTCGACACACTTCTGAAGTTGGTGCTGGTCGATTTCCGTTCCGCCAGATCCATTACTTCCTTCCTTCTCCGTCTTTCAGTCCTTCTCACAAACACCTTATTGTACCTTTATTATAACAACATCAACTTCATCCCCCCGGACAGGTACAGGAAATGTGAAGCTGTTAGTGTCGGTTACCTCCACACACTTCTGCAGTTCTCCCGCAATATAAACTGCCCAAGTTCCTTCTTCTAGATTGCGAGCTGTTGGTTCCACCTCAACCACGGAGCTATCCCAGGTCTTCATAGTAAGTATTAAAGCACTTTCATCTGAGTCCCACTGTCCCCGGAGAAAGTCAACACCTTGTGACAGATCAACACCGTCGATCCATGGACGCTTAGCCAGGATATCCCGCGTCCATGGTCTATCCCACATGATTTTCTGGCCGTCGTTGACATTCAGTCTGGCATATCCAATAGCAGCATTCCCAGTAAACCGGTCCATGTGCCTCCATCGGTGAGATTCATCTATAGCCTGGTCGTTGCGCGGGTAAAACAATCCGCCATTTTCCCAGGTGGGATTCAAATTCGTATCCGCGTATTCTAGTAAGCCTTCCAATTCAATAGACTTGCCGAGCTCTGACAACCACTCGACAACGTAACCAAAAGTTGGAAGGGAGAAAGGAAACTTAGGGGGTGGGATTGTCTTCGCGATCTCAAGTGCCTTTAAAAGCAGTGCCTTATCTCCTGCATCGTCCCCAGCGATCTCTCTGTAGACATTCGCTAACGTGGGCGAGTTGAGACGTACATCTCCGTCGAAATTGGTTATGTAACCGAATGCCTGTCTTTCAAAGGCAGATCTTACTAACTTGGGGTTCCAGGTATTCATAAAAGCATTTGCGCTGCGGAGGTGTTAACACCTTGCCATTTCACCAAGTAGGGAACAACATACCCGGCAGTAAAGCCCACTTGCTTTGGAATCTCAGGCCTATCCTGATTCACATACCACCAATCCACGTACAAGCCATTCGACGCAACCATCTGCTTCAGTTCCCATGCCTTTTTATATTTCTCAAGAACGTCTCCAACAACATTCGTGCCGTCTCTGACATCGTTGTATCGCATGCCTACCAACTTTTGATAAATGATTAGCCGAAAACGGTTCGCCGGGACGGACAGTAAGTACCGGAAACTGATTGCAGACAACGAAGACCAGGTTGGGCTCGCAACAGACCCCAATCCATTTGTTCTTCTCCATTTCTGAGATTATCGCCGCCTGTAAGCTGCGGTTATCATACGAAAATACCTCCGTACCGAGTCCCCAGAATAGTGGGTCCCAACGGAACGTCAGAGACAAGGGCTTCTCAAACTCGTCGTCGTCGAATAGCATGGCATACAGGCTCGTCATCAGCAGCAGATGTCCACTATACATGATGTTTTCGCGCACGACAGGGTCAGCCCAGGGCTTCCTCAGCTCCTCTCGATCAGGATCGGTTTTATTTCCGGAATGACTTGTGTTGAACCAGTAGCCCCACACCTCGCGCCGGAGCATTTTATGTATCAAACGACGTAGAAGAGGCTTGAAGACGCTTCGCAACGCTGGGAGGCGATGAAAATGTGCTACTCCAGCACCATAAGCCATGGCGGATATTTGATATCTGTACGCATCGAGGAACTCCTGGGCAGGCTCCTGCGTCCCCATATGGCGCCATTCACCGTCTAGCTGCCAGGCAAGATTGTGGTAGTGGCGCAAATGGCCCGCTTGCTTGATGTCAAGCTTCGGGATTTTCGAGATATCCAGAGGGAGACGCTGCGGAGGCTGTTGCTTCATTTTGACTGAAATTGATTTGATGCGATTGTTCAAAGATAGTATCCCAGGAAAGCGTGGTTATAACGAGATATTTAGTTCACATTTGATTCTGAGCATCTGAATTTGCTTTGGGATCTTACTTGCTTAAATAGATCCGCACGCCTGGACTCGGCTGTAGTCTAGAACCTCGCTGTTGACGACGAACCCCCCCCCACCCCCCGCCACTGCCTGTGGGCAGCCGTCAATACCATGTTGCCGAGAAACATCCTTCTGCTGGTAAACAAAGACTATCTCAGTTAAACAGCGGATATGCCCTTACGTTCTATTGCCCCCACCTTTCCCAACCGCCCAACAACTCACCCGATCCAGATTGCGAATTACTCCGTCCTCAAGCCACTATTTGTGGGGCGCCACTTTACCTTGTCAGAAAGACTCCTGCTGCTCTTTGCTGACGGGAGTGGTGCGCCACCTTTTCTTGAAGACGTGCAGTCTGCACTCCACCGGCCACCCAGTTCACGTTCTGTCTAGAGCTGGGAACTGCAACCTCATTTTATTTCGCTTTGTATGTGGAATATTACTTTCTAAGGTATTACTGTACCCAGATTCTGGTCACTCAGATCTCCCGTTATCCAGGCGTAGTGGATTTCAGAGCAGAACTGTTTATCAACGAATGGCAGTTCGGCAAATATGGTACGTTGAGAAATTGTCGCTTCGTTTTTCTGCCTTCTGTCAGGACCTCACCATGCTGATGGTCTTGACCCAGAATGCAGTGAACGTGGTTTAGAAAACAGGATGACATTTAACCTGTTGTTATCCTGAGTATATTCAAATATCATGTAATATCTCAATGTATGAAAATCGTGTTGTCCCGATTTTTCCGGTCCGGTACCTGTCCAAGAATAACATTGGGAATTCCTCCACTCCTCAGCTAGCACTGCGAGTCCGTTGCGACCAGCTCCGTATACGTCCACCGTAGATCCAGAAGACAACAGGCACTGGGACCATAGCCGCACTGAGAAAACCGACGAGACTTGTAGCCCAGGCAACTCCCAATTTATGATACATGAACCTGGCGAAGAGAGGAAACACTGCACCAAAGACACTCCTTACAGCACCATTGGCTGCCATTGCACTGTTTGCCATGCTTGTATAGCAGTCAACAATATATGTAAAGCACTGAATGAAAATTGTGTACATGCCCCAACCGATAAGGAATCCCGAGCAGACTTCACTTGGCCAGGGAATCTGAGAATTGGAAGTCCAAGCATACCAGAACAGGCCAGCTGGTACAAGACAGCCACCAAATATCATTAACGGGAGGCGGTCTTCAGGCTCGAATTTACCGCCATTGCTTTCCACCTTTCGCTTGAAAAACGTTTGAGTATAGATAACAACCACGGCAGTGCCAACAAATACTCCAGTGATGATGCTTAGGAGTGGAAGTGAAGCAAGACCCGAGCCCCACCCGCGAACTTCACCAAAGGCGATAGGATATGATTGATAAAATAGGTACATCAGACCATATATAAAGGACTGATATAGTGTTAGAAGAACAAGAATCGGCTCCGTGAAGAAGAGCACTGTGCTAATGTCAGCACCTCAATAATCCCTGCAGGTTCTATATCGCTTACCCCATGGGCGTACCAGGTAAAGCTGCGCTAATTTATGGAGAGATGCTTCTTCCATATCCAACTGCGAACGGATATTTCGGGCCCCAGTCTGCTTCCGCAGATCCTTCGCAATACGCTGAAGTATAGCTGGAGGGTAGGTCTCAGGGTGGACCAGCATAGCGAGGAGGGAAAAGAATAGCCCAGCAATGACGACAACCCACATAGTCCATCTCCAGCCTGCAGAACTGTCGACTATTAATCCGCCAATAATCGGGCCAAACGTGGGACCGGAGAACACCAAGCAGATGCAAAACGCTAAGGCAGTTCCACGATAAACGACGTTCCAGCAATCTGTAATTAGTCCACCAAGGACAGCAATAGGAGCGACGCCGAACAACCCTGCTAGAAAACGGCCGACTAGGACGGTAGCAATATTTTGACCCAACGCTGGCATGAGGCTGAACAAAGATGATATTCCGACTCCTATGACAAGGGGTAACTTGCGTCCGAACCTCTCGGACAATGGCCCAAAAATGAGAGGGCCAATTATATAACCCTATCCGGTAGAGACCCAATTAGAATGACCTTCGCTTCATGTGTGTTTTGAGAATAGATATAATGGACACCTACAACCAAGAAGAGAGACGTGCCAAGTACAGCCACTTCTTCGTTCACACCAAATTGGTCTGCGACTTTTGCTTGAGCACTACCAAAAATACTGCTGGAAATAGTCACGACCAAATTGAACATTGCCAACATAAAAGTCGCCCAAATACGGGACGCCAAAGACCAATTATGAGGATGGCGGACATCATCAAAACCGCCAAATTCGAGAAGCTCATCTTGCCGAAAAAGCTGAGCGGCAGCCCTTCCATGCTCAACATCTCTTGCCTGGGATCCTAAGGAAATTCCATCCGGCGTCGTCTCTCTCATATTGCAATCCTGGTGTGTGAACGATAGTCGGTAAGACGGCGACTCTACTTCTGACGGAAACTTGCTTTCATCTTATAAAGCTGGCGAAGGGCACACCTGCTCCACTTAGTAATGGGATATACCGCGACAGTGTCTTGCCGCTGTTACGATCTACGATAGGCAAGAAAAATATTAGACTGCAGGAAAGCTGCAGCGGGACAGAGTACAGGCCCCTTAGTTCCGAAGAGCGTATGGCTCTCGGAGAGTTTAGATGTCTGGAATGCGTAGTTGGCGCCTAGGGTGTCCCTGTTTCAGTGGTCGCGGAAACTTTTAGTCTTGGTGACTTCTAGTCTCGGTCTACTGATTTGCCGGATCGGGGACTTTATTCGGAGATATTTACCTCCCCTAAAGCCCAAAAGCGACTATTCAGCACGTCGCCGCGAAGCCTGTTCTGTGCCTGATGGCAACATAATAATGAGTCAAGAGACCTTGCGGTGGTAGCTGAAAGGTATATCAGAGGCAATAACAGAATGGGCTTACTGCGGATGGAAGATCAAAGGTTAAACATATTGGACGCTCTACTTCCAAGGCATTCCCGCGCTGGATGTACGAAGTTCGCCCGGCCTTCCTTTCCAGTGCGTTTCCAGTTGATATTTAGGTAATAATGCCTGTGGTCATTTTGTTTGGATGGCAAGGACAACACTGTCTGTCCATATATTCCCTAGTGCCGGAACAGTATGTGGGGCTGGATGGGATATTTCATACCAAATGTCACGTCCTTGACGTTTTGCGTGGACTCTACCGATTCTTGGCACCAAAATATTACCCTTGCTTATACAGTACGCAGCACGGGTGGTGGCGACGCCTCCAATGGAGCTGCAAGTCCCAAGAGGCTTCATCAACTTCTATCGAATATCGTCTCATGGTAAACCGCGCCACCCAAATAGCGCATAGTTTTTTCTAGGCAGATACAAACATCTCTCCCCATGCCTAAAATCCGCGGCCCTTGAAACCAAACTCATGGATACCATATTGCATATGTACAAGGTTGTTTGCCATTTACTCCAGAAAGTGGTGGGCGCAACTATTCTTTTTTTTTTTTTTCTTTTGTCTCTCACAGTTATGTCCACGAATTGCTCATTCGGCTTCCCGGAAATAATATTGTACTTGTTTGGCGAAATCATCATCAACAATCAGTTGACATGCGACAGCGGCAATTCCTGACGCGCAGGCAATGGTGCGCTCAAATGCTTCAGATGATCCCGCAGCACTAGTAAACTCGTGTGTGTGATTTACACCATTTGCGGGAATGATATACATTGCATGAAAGCCCGGTACCTCGTAGGAAACGTTGCCTAGATGTTCTTGTCATCAGCGAATTGAGGTACCTAGACAACTCCAGCCGTGCTTACCCATGTCTGTGGACCCGCCGCTTAGGAGACCTTCTTGCTCACCCAACTGGAAAACTGAATCGTGGCCCATTATTTGCATTACATGGACAAACCTCTCACACATTGGCCGATTGACCTTAAGATCGGCATATGAAAGGCCGCCCCTTAATCTCGTCAGATTCACCGGTAATAATCGCATCATTCTGGTTACATACCACTCAAAATCAACCTTAGAGCCAGTAGCTGTTGCAGCAGCTTCAAAGCACTTGGTGACGTTTTCTCTCAAGCTGTCCAGAGATTTCACACTTGATGCTCTCATGCAATAGTCTACAGAGGCAGACTCGGGTATGATGTTCGGACGGTCGCCACCGTGCACGATGGTGCCATGAACTCTTTGACTTGGTAACATTTGCTGACGAAGAAGGGAGATATTCAGATATGCAGCCACAACTGCATCAAGAGCATTGACACCCTCCCATGGGGCCGCCGATGCATGGGCAGCTTTACCTCTGAATGTGACGCGGACGTCATCGGTCGCCAGGAAACCCCCTGGCAGGCCTGCTGCTATACTGAGAAACTTGTCACTTTTTGGCGCAGGCGACATAGGATGAACCATAAGACAGGCGAATACATCTTTGTACGCCCCCTTCTTAATCAACAGAATCTTTCCTCCTCCAGCTTCCTCCGCGGGAGTACCCAAAAGGCGAACAGTGAATCCAGGGCCATGTCCATACTGGGCCTTCAAAGTTTCACAGGTTGCGATGAACGCAGCGATAGAGCTGGTTGCTATGAGATTGTGACCGCAGGCATGTCCGATCCCCGGGAGCGCATCATATTCTGCATTGAATACCACCACTCGGCCTCCAGATTTGTGAGTATACTCAATCTTGAAGGCTGTTTCTAGCCCATAGGCACTCCGGCAGACACGGTAGCCATCTAGTTTGAGACTTTCAAACATAGTGCAAATGTTATCATGCGCTTTGTACTCTTTAAAAGCAAGTTCGGGGTTCGACCATATCTTCTCCAATTAGAAGCCAGGGAAAACTCAATTTATGCGTACTAATATCAAAAAACGTACCAAATGGTTAATATTCCTGAGCTCCGCGTCATAAGTTCGCATAACGCTTTCGATGGCCTTCAAAAAGCCTTGTGAAGGATTATTGGGCTCCATACTGTATTCGGCCTCATCAGTAGGCCCCTGAGAGGTAATGCTACACTGAATGACTGGGCTTGCTCTGCTATTTATATGCCGATAGCAGGAGGTTTTATAAATACAAAAACTAAATATCTTATCATCCCCATTAATAATATACTGATCCTCGGGATCTGGTCCGGAAATGGTGGATTTCTGATTGGACGACCTCGTTCGGGAAGTATTACAGGTTTGGCCCTTCGGATATTTTCTGCTTGTCTAGGCGTTGAAGCTTATTCTTTGTTTACAGATAGGATACTTATCATACTGGGCCGGGGTTCCAGGTTGCGCTTTCCGGCAGCAAAGCAGACCCGCTCTGTTGTAGCCTGTTGTCAACTTAGTTTGTCCCTTACGATAGCTAATCTGCTCATGACCTTGATAAAGCATGGGTATATGGTCTACTTCTCCATACTGATACATGCTTTGAGCGAAACATGGTATGGGACTCCGACGGCTCCGAAGGATACTCCACACCAGGAACTATTTCCTATGGTTGGTTGCACTAAGAACACTGTCCCCAAATCCCTCGTCGAATCCCAACGAATCCCCTGTGAGTCAGAATGCCAGCCTTCCTGATAATCAATTTGAATGTTGCCAGAAATAAATGAAATAAGCGTGGGGTACTGTAGAATTAGTTATCGACAAAAAAATATGGAAACAGCTTATCTTGCTATGTCTTTATACTCTTCTTGTTCATGCTTGGTGCAGCGAACCAGTCTACAATATGTTTGTCATCCTAGGGTGATTGGCAATATTGATTGTTTCAAGCTACGCTCTTTTCCAAAGTTGTGGCAGAGCAAGGAGACGCTGGACTTTTGGGAGTATAGATCTTTTCTTCAGCGTCAGCAAGGGTACTATTACTTGTGCGTTAACTATGGGGAAAAAACAGTATCGAGATTAGATAACCGGTTACTTTAAGGGAGTGAGTAGGGTTATTGAGCTCATCAGTCGATAGAGTGACAGTAGTTCACAGTAGTTGATGCGATCATGGAAGAGCTCAGTAGCAGACACATCATTATAAGAATGCAACATCAGAGGTTTCGTTCAGCAAACTTCTCAAGCGTGTTTATTATACATGTGGCTTTGCCCCTACATATCGTGTTGCTCATTTTTACCGAATTTGCCGAACGGAGAGCGAAATGAGAACCCAGCCTGAACGCAACTTGCCTATATTTCGCCTTTATAATGTGACTAGTGTATGAGTCAATTTAATGTATGGCCACTGTCTAAACGCACAGGTATTTGTCGACCAATGTAGATGAAGGGCTGTGGTCAGCCCTGAGAGTTTAGACGTCTTTTGTACACCTCGAGCAGAACCTCAAGTGCGTCAATTTCTCGACGTAGGCCTTTGTTTTCGATTTTTGCTGCTTGTAAAGTTTGAAGGATGTTGTGGTATTCGTTTGTCTTCGATTCTATTTTTTGTTCGACTGCATGCTGGACAAAATTCGACTGAGTGTACAACTATGGTGGTGAGTTAGACAAACAGAATAAATCCGCCAGAGCATAATTTGGACTCACCACTCGATCTCCAGGCCTACCATAACACATGTTGCACTTCTTGGGCCTCGCTGGATGATGGAACGAAGAATGCTCTCCCCTTTATCTCCGTGGCGAGCGGAGAGTTCTCACAACGCCAAGCACTAAACATAGAAACTCTCCTATTGGCTGCCTAGAGCTGCTGTTTCCTGGCCTTCATGTAGTCAACACCAGCATGCATAGGGAGCCGATAACACGCTGAACTTTGCTCTTTCACTGGACACGTACATTGTACGGGTGGCGTCTTAGGACATGACTAGCAGTTGCACGTTGCACAGGCTGAGAAAATACGTCGATGAAAGGGTCTGGATGTCTGCATCATGAGTCCATGCGTTGCACGGCTGAACTCGAGGATTACAGAGAGTCCCTGGGAAGATATACTCAGCATGCCTATGGTTCGGAAGGATCAGTTCAGTGATATCGGATCAGTAAGCGCGGATGACAGGCTAGAATCGTAATTGGTGGTACCCTGCGATTTGCGCTACAGTCCGGAATAGCTTGCCAGTCTACAGAATCTACAGCCCTTTACGGAGACTTCATTCCTTTTCCAACCAGGGATCGGAAGAAATTTGGTCTTCCGACCGAAAGCCTCTCCAGATCGTCACATTACCCCTATTCGAGGGTTTACGGGAAAGTATCCGGCGGAATGATAATTATACTATCTATTGACCTTCCTAGGTATACATACAGTTTGCTGGGAGGTGGATACCTTACGGGTGCGGACAGCCTTTACTCCAATGCGCTGGTGGCGCCCCACATCTCCCTAAAAGCGAGGGCTGCTCCATGCGAGTTGTTGTGAACATCCCTATCCTCTCAACCTTTGTTAAATACCTTCCACTCCCACATTTCCTTGCCTTTCGGGGCCCTTTCCAAACGCCGTGGGCCAGTCCTCGATACAGCCCTTCTGCAAAATGCCTCTGTTTCTGCTCTCTGTCTCCTACCTTACTTCCTTCGAGGAAGTAGAAAAGCATCTCCCAGCCCATATAGCCTGGTTGAATCAACAATATGAGCAAAATATCTATCTGTTCTTTGCCCGCAAGGTGCCGTTCACAGGTGGAGTGTGTCTCGCTGTTGCAGAATCGGCACTTCAAATAATGGAGATTACAGAATCCGACCCTTTTCGCACCAACAATGTTGCAAAGTATGACATTCAAGAGCTGGACCTGACAAAAATCAATACTTTTATGCTCCAGGAATATGCGTCCGATTGAGTGAGATTCTAGCAGGAAGCTCTTTCAAGTACGCACTGATGATTTCGCTACTGTTGTACTGTACATCTGCTACTGCATAATCCTTCGCTTGAAGAACTCGACTTAGTGATGTTCTGTCAATGCCATCCGGTCTGAAGGAGATTGATCTCGTGTCCGAATGGATGGTTTGAGACGTTATAGACAGCAGTTAGCAGTGCTATGTCATATACTGCAGGCAAAATGAAATGAAATCATCCGCGTTGCTCTCCAAGACTGGGTCAAGTTCAATATATAACTATATATTAAGTAATTAAATATTATTAGACTTTAAGTCACCAATACCGCGAACTGGTATCTGATAAATCCAGATAAACTTATCTTAGTATACACTATTCCCCAGTCCTCCTGTCCCACAAATCGCTCAATAACTTTAAACAAAGATAATACTTTATTATAGTATATAAATAGTGTAACAAGTCTTATTTTATACCAATAATACTGGTGGTTTTTCAACTAAGACTATAATACATAACTAGAATAAGTCTAGAAGTTTTGCCCGCAGCCGATAAAACAAGAAAGCATATCTAAAAACCGACCTTCTTTACCATTAACCTGAAGAACTAGGTACACAAATGTTGCCGAGTTGGGAGCCGAGATCCATAACTTTGATAATATGCAAATCAATAATCAAATAGTCGATGGAAAAAGTCTCCAGTTCTTGTCAAGTCCAATGCTAGACAATCACGAATCTAGTTCGTGCACTGCTAAGTAAAGATAATGCAGACTACTATATACAGGGTCCAATCGGAGCATGCTATTTATTCCCGGGGCACGAGGCGTTGAAAAATGAAACGAAAAACCAGCTTGAAAACCCAGTCCCTAGAACCGAAACTAGGAAAGGAATTGGATCTGAAAAGGTCAGTCGGGCCGACCGGATATTACTTTTCACTAGGCCCCAGTATTACTACAAGTTTATGCCTCGCTACCAGTCCTAGGCCACTTTTAATAAAGCAATCGGGATCCTAGGTTGCTATAGTTACGCTAAGCTTTCAAAAGTTACAAGCTTTCCTTTCCTACCGAGTGGTTGCTTCCCGAGCCCCGTCCCCGCCTTTGTTAAATATCGCAACCTTTCTCCTCCAAATTCCTTCTTTTCCTCACCCATATGCCTTATCACAGCTTTTCCCTCTTCAACCCGAGACATTACATATCAAAGGCTTTAAATATATTCGCCGAAGATGTCTTCTTTGCCACCCGGATGGACTGAAGAGCGACTTAGAACCATAACCGAGGATGACTTGCGTCAAATACCGGAGGAGGTAAGCTTATGATCACCTTCGAACTTTATGGAATCCTCCATAAAGTTCTTACTAACCATCTCTCACCAACACAGCAAATCCGCCAAATTGATTTAAATTTGATCCCATTCGACAATGTTCGAGCTCGCACAATCATCTCATTTGCAAAATTGTTCGAGGAACGAAGATTAAGTCGCGCGAGAAAGGGCATGCCCCCTGCCCCTCCAAAAGATATATTCAAAATACCTGATGATGCAGTCGTCCAGGTCGTGGAAGAGAATGGATTCGATGACTTCGGTTTTATTACTTTCCGAACAGATTACTCAGATGATGAACGCTGGGATAAATGGGATGCAGAGTATGATCGCCGAATAGATTTGTCGATAGAAAGGTCCGCTGGCGGTCAGAAGATCATGGATAAATGTTTTATGCCTCGCTTTGAGGATTCGGAATTACATGGTACTACTCATCAGCAGATACAACAGTAAGCTCAACCTTGAAATTTCAATGTTGTCAATGCAGATCACTGATACAAGCCAGATCATACTATGGATACATAGAAACTGAGGGCTTGGCTCCAGGATTAGATGTGGGCCTATGTCTGGTTGCTGATACTGCCGCTGTAGAGTCCATGAACAGTGACCTGCCATGGGTGTACGCGTTGGATATGAATTTTGATCATTCGAGTGAAGTAGAGGAGGGGGAATATCCAGGGTATTTCCGAGTTGCTGTGGACTCGGTGATCCCAGAGCTTTATCCCATCCTTACAGCTATGCCACCTGCGGAGCTTTGGTCTCAGGGTGATGAGATATGGCAGTCAGTCGTTTAGTCAGAAACTGTTGATATTGTAAATTAAAAAGGACTATTTGATCAATATAACATTTAGATAATAATACATGCTTCGTCCTTGTTCTCCCATGTGTGCATTATAAGGGTTTTTCTTGGGGAATAGAATTACTCATAGCATAGAAGCAATTTCTTAGTCGGGGCTAATACAGCCCATTGGTATGGGTTAAATCAATAGGCAACTCCATCCATCCCAGATCGTCAAATGCGACGTGCGCTTTATCGTCAAGCGTCTGTGTCCAGAGGTCCTCCGATTTCACCCAAAATAATTTCTCTGGACGCTTCAGCACAATGTGTAGCACGACCACTCTCACAGTGGGAGTCTCTTGTCGTAAGAAAAGGCCTCCAGGGCAAGGAGAAAAGGTGCTACATCAGTGTGGAGATGATTTGAACGATCCCGGATCCACAAGACCCACAACCCATTTTTAGCTTTGCTAAGGCTCCCATGAAGCCAGACCAAAGACCTTCAGCTTAAAAGAGTGCCTTTTCCATTTCGCCCAGTCACTATGCACACTCAATCATGTATGACACGCTGTTCTTTAGGTCGGGCAGGGAACCTTTTAGAAACCTCGCAATCCAGAAGGGACAATCAGAAAATCATAAGGAGGAAATACACGCTGTTTAAAAAAAATTTCGAGTCCTCCCAAGAGTGTGAAAGCAGATGTTTATTTGATATTCTCATGAGGAGAAGTGGATTGATATATACACTCGCATCAAAGTCCCCGGACTGGCCCCTTCGGCACAAAGCTTGGCAGGGTTAACGTAACTCCCGGCCTCATCGGCCACCCAGTACACCGCCCAACATGTTTCTACATGCAACCACTCTTTCTATCAAAGGCGGTGAATTAGCAATGAGTCGTACAATGACGTTTTAGGGTGGTGTGGTAGGGGTGGTCGGCGCGGGCGGGTGGCCGATGCGGCCGGTAGTTACGTTACATTCCAACATATTTCTGAATTGCATACGTGGTCACATGACTCTACACGTCACTACTGTAGTCCAGTCCTTAGTCAACTTATAGAGCACTTCCATTGGATAAACTCCAATTATTTAGGATGAATAGACAATAGGTTATTGCAGACACTCTTGTCTTCTTTAGCTCTAAACTCTATTTGGGGTGTGCAGATGATGACCTCGCTTCATCATAATATCCCGACATGAATATTGCGAGTCGGAGGAGAAAGCTCCTTCGGCTCCGCCCGGCGAGGTAGATTAGATGCACCGTGGAAGCCAGGCGATCCACGGGCAGATCGTAGTGGAACTGTTACCCTGTCGATCGACTGGGGAAGGCAGGCCTGTTTAATATTGAAGAGTTAATGTTGCCAATAATGCTTGAGCACCATGTACAGGTAAACTCTCAACACACCAAGCATGCTTCATATCTCAGTCTTAATCAGGATTTAAATGTAGTTGCAACCCAATGATTGAGAGGCGGCGGAAAGAGGATGACGCACATGGCGGCATGGCCAGACGGTGACTTCATCATGAGTTCTTAGTCAACTGCTTCTACGGCCTCTTAAGAGCCGCAACATACAACAAATGTATGTAGTTTTATCTCATTGCGGAGCTATACCCTCAGGTGACTCCAGTTGACCAAAATGCAAGCTGTCAAGAACACTATTGCCGAAAACTTCGGCGGTCCTTCTCACAAACTCGCGGAAGAGAAGTTCGATCTAGATGATGTGCCCGACTTGAGCGGTAAAGTAGCGGTGGTCACAGGAGGTACAGAAGGTAACTTGCTACATTTTCTCCGAACCCGCCAACTCCCCGCACGCCTGCAATTGGAAGTTAACTATAATATCTACAACAGGTATCGGCTTCGGCGTTACTCATACCCTTCTCTCCAAAGGCATTTCCAAGCTTTTCGTGACTTCGCTCCGCAAGGAGGTCGCCGATGATGCCCTCTCTGCTACTGAGGAGGAGTTCGGTCACGAGACACGCCAGCGCTTCATCTGGATCCAATGTGACCTGTCGGACTGGGAACAGACTGCTAAAGTGGCAGCTGAAATCGCTTCGCAGACGGACCGCATCGACATCCTTGTCAATAATGCCGGCCGGGGCGTCATGACACGCCAGCTGGCTCCCACCAATGGAATTGACTTGCACATGGCAGCCAATCACATGGGTCACGTCGTGCTGACCTCGCACCTGCTCCCAACGCTGAAGAAGACCGCCGACGCTGGAGACACTGTTCGTATTGTCAACGTCTCCTCCAACGTAGAAGGAAGCACGCCCAAGGATACGGAGTTCGCGTCTGTGGAGGAGTTGAATCGCGAATATAGCCCCACAGAGCTGTATGGTCGGTCCAAACTGGCTGTGCTCCTATATGCTAAGTGGCTCAACGCTCACCTCCGACCCACACACCCCAATATCATTGTTAATGCAACTCATCCGGGGGTCGTCGATACGGCGCAGACAAATGTCCATATCCATGAGGCCCATCCCGTGCTTGGGTATGGCCTGTCCGCCGGCTTAAAACCGTTTCGGAAGACTCAATTCCAAGGGGCCGTGTCCACCATGTATGCCGCGACCATGGCGACCGAGGGTGGACAGTTCATTAATCCACCACGAATCGTGGAAAGAGGCAGTGATAAGGCCAATGACATGGAGTTAGCGGACAGGCTGATGAAGTTGACAGCTGAGGTGGTGGAGAAGAAAACACGGCCGCACAGTAGCGCCAAGGGTTGTCCGTTTACCGAGGACTAGATTATTAGAGTCCAATAAATCCCGCGACTATTTGGCTGTTTACTTCTTGCCTGCTCAATTTTGTAGCCTCAATTGGTATCAACACACCGTCATCTCGCGCTTAGTACACCGAGACCGGCCAGAAGTCTTTTCTGAGCGACAGTGATGTCGACTAAAGTACTCCGACTCGTGTTAATCTTGTGGATGTGTCATATTCATTTCTATTGACCATACTGCATATTCTAGTTGTCGACTACTGCCGTGAAAATGACCTTGACAGAATGGTAAAGCAATGCTCATAAGGCGTCCACGTGTTAGAGAGAGAGGGTCGCATTTCAAACTTATGACATAACCTCCATCAAAACACATTTGGAGCAACATGTTGCTCCACTGCTTGTGCTGAAGATCCTCTGACCCGATCAGATCAATGTTTATTATTATTATTGTTATTATACTTATCTTTTCTCTTTCGTCTCTTTCCATTCTACCATCCGCCTGGCCGGCCTGGATTGTTTCCATTAATAATCAGTATAATAAACTAGTCTTATACGGTTCAGAAGGAGTATCGTGCTTATGTGAATATTTACTAAAGGGTAAAGATGAAGCTGCCGGGGTCTAGGTAAATAGTCTAAAGAGAGACATGCATCATTATTACGTATATGAAACTGTTTCTTATCAACCCAGACACTGCGCAGCAAGTATCGAGAGGTCAGCAGTCAGCTTAGGCGTCCCATATTGCTACTCAAGGAAGGCACCAGATGGGCCGGTAGTCGGCCTTACATATTAGCACGGCTATTTTTAGCCACGGGGTATCCAATCACATAAACGGTAATTTATCAAAGATAGATATAAAAAGCCATCTTCACCTTGTCCTAATTTCACGATAATATTTCACCATACTTTTTAGGTACCATTATCGTTACTAAATCAAACATTTTCCTTCACAGCTTTAAATATGAGATTTAGCCAACCCCTCCTAGCCATGTGTGGCATCATTGCCTCGGCTGCGTCCACAACCACTTCGTTTCCTGCCAATTTTACTTTACTATCCACTCTTGATAACTCAGTACTTACCACGGATGGTTGGGGTATCTATGACAGCACCCTAGAAACTATATTGACGTGTAAGCTTCTACTTTTTCCTCCCTTACCAACTACCTATCTATTACACACACCTATTGATAACGCGCCAAACTGATAATTATAGTATCTCCCTATAAGGACGACACCATCGGATACGGGCCTTACGGTCAGGCACTGGCCGTGCTAGCCGATGAGACCTCAGTTGCATGGATCATTCAACTTCAGGCAGAGCCTGAGGCTATCGACACGGTGACTGGGTGGGGAGTCTCGGATGATGGGTTCCTTATGCTGAACGGAGAGCAGCTGTGGGCATTTAATGAGAGCGCCGCGGAGCCAAGGAGGCTGTATTGGGCTGGTAAGGGAAATGAGCAGGGCATGGTCAGTACACAGCTATTGGTGCAAAGTGTTTGACTGAGACAGGGCTTGGTGCTTACTACTATACTTTGAGGAATTCCACCCAATACTTGAATGCGCGAGTACTACCATGGGCATAGATGTTTCGTAACAAAATCTTTATACGTCACAATTATATGAACGACTAACGTAGAAGTAAAGAGACTATTAATAGACTATAATGTCGAAGATGCTATTTCACGCCTAGTCCACTGCGAGTGTGATGGCGAGCCGTTGTGATAGCCGATTGAAACTCATCTTACTGAGTGTTACTGGAGGAATACGGAGTTTTCCATCACCCATGTGTCTGGGATTGTTTCGCAACCCTACTTGTACCGACGGCATCTCTGCTTCCTTCGGAGTGGCAATAAACTGTTGGTACACTATATCTGTCACAAGCAACTGAAAACCTCATGGTGAAATGTTGGGGTATGGACTCTGCATCTGCACTGAAGTGTTATAGAATTCTCAAGATGTAGGTGATTTTGGAGGATGAGGCGAATCAGTATGCAAAGGGTTTTGTTGACACTACGGTCAAAGAGGATGTGTGGACTGTCATCTCGGATTGATCCATGCCTTCAACTACTCAACACAGCAGCGATAGCCATTCAGTATAGCTTTTTCCGTAACCTATTATGTCATTCGAGGAATATTAAACCGCGCTCGCTGACAACCCTCATCGGTTCTCGTTTGAATTCAAGCACTCTCATTTCAAGGCTGGCTCCATCTGATCATTATAATTGATAGCCCTGTACAAGCTGCGGAGTGCTCTCAATCTTTCTGACATAAGCTCAGGCGCGTGTTGATGGTCTCCGGTCGGGCAGAACAGAGTCATCGTGCTAAAGTCTGCGCGGCCTCACTGTATTTTCCACGGTATGATATTGTGATACTCCACCCTGAGATGCTTGGGTGTACGCTAAATCTCAATGATAGTTCCAGGAAATGCAACCAAATGCCGTGTCCAAATTCCCGGGCTTCCGAACACGGCAATCAGTTCCGTACCTGACCAGAGTTCGGGTGAGTAGTTATTGGTTCCCTCATGAGATATATTTCCCCAAGTTCTCCATTAGCCAGATAGGGTCAACTCTTCGAAAGAATAACAATAATCCAGCCCGCAACTCTATTTATATGACACAATTCAAGTCTTGACACAACTCCTTTCTCTTCATAGGAAGGATACTGACCAGGACCCTATCACCAGGCTTAGCACATTGGAGATGGGGAGGAGCAATATAAACCCAGCACAGCAGTGATACCATCAAATGTTGAAAGCCAATCATTCATGACAGCACTACTTAGCCACTTGGGCAGATCATAACCCAGAAGCAGAATAAAACCCCAATGATTCCGGTATGCTACTATCTAGACCCCTAGGAGCTAACCCGCATCCATCCTTCAATATATCTATCTATGTATCAATCCCATAAACCCCCAAATCCTCCTCCATTCCCACCAAAGCAAATACTGCACTCTCCCTCCCCCCAAACACCCTCAACTTCCTCACCCCCCTGAACTCCAGCCCACTCTTCTCCAACACCCTCCGACTACGCATATTGTCGGGCGCACAAAACCCAAACACCCCCTGCACGTTCCACTCGCGTTGCACGTACGAAATGGCCGCCTTCGCTGCCTCAGTCGCGTATCCTCGCCCTTGGTGCTCTGGAAGAATAGCGAATCCAACATCTGGTGCAGAGTAGCAATTTGGTGGATCGCCTTGCATGAGGCTTATGGTGCCAATCGGGAGGGTGTTTTGATGAGGTGAGTTGGAGGTGGGCCTTAGGTTGACGAGGAGGAGGCCGAATCCTTTGCGGGTGTATTGGGGAATGATCCGGGTCTGAATAAAGGTCTGGGCGGAATGGCTGTCTGTGATGGAGGTTTTGCCGTTGCTGGCAATGAAGTCGGGGGTGTTCCAGAGGTGAGCGAGGAAGGCGCTGTGGGATGGGCTGGTCGGGTCAAAGTAGGTGATGTTAAGGCGGGCGGTGGAGATGGAGAAGTTGGTTGGCGGTTTGGATGTGCTAGTCATCATGGCGGTAATTGCGATGGTCCAGTTTGTATAGCAAATGGCCGAGGTGAGGTTACATATATATAGGAAGCTGCTAGACCCGTGGTGTCATCAGCAGTTGGTTGTTAAAGAACCCCAGATTATCTTTAGGATTTGATTTTCAAGGATACTAAGAAGGATGCTGGATTGATTAGTAGGCGAGTCCAATCAGGATGGCAAGTTGCACGGTTAGCAGCGGACCTGGAGTAGCCCGTTCTTATCATATGATAAGCTCTGATTCAACCAATGCCATTATTGTGGTCTGCGGATGCTTACACATAATTCGGAGTAATCGATTCTAGACAGCCGAATCCCCCAGTCAATGATATGAAATTCTCCCAGAGCCGTCTTCAGCATCAATCCCACCGCACTAAATTATTAAGAAAATCTGGTTTACTCAAGCGGAAGCGGCAGTCCGGGTTGTTGGCCCCAAAGGCTGTAGAACAGAAGACCGGATGAGAGTGCTGCCAAGCCTGCGACCATAGCCAAGGCAAGGGAGCCCTCTATGCTTCAAGAATATTCTCATGGGTCCGTACTACCACATACTGCTTTCCCGATTTTGTCACTTCCACAATATGTTGATGACGGTACGGTGCTTTGAAACACTACTAATCTCACCCCCACCTCCCCGGGGCGTGGGGATTCGGATTCGGATTTCCTCATACACCGTCTCAGTCTGCCTGAGGATGTTTCCCGGAACACTATGATGCAGTTACATGAATTCGAATTTTTCTGGTGAGCTGTGAGTCGATCTATAGCACTGACAATAAGCTGTGTGAGAGCCACATTAACGTACCCTACCTGTTATCTCGTGAGTGATACGCATGTACCACCTACTCGTTTCCCTCCAACAAGGCCTCGTGAACATACGAATAAGAGCAAGACAGACTCGAGTCACTTCAGGGCAGTGAGCAATGATGTATGCAGTAGTACTGAGCGATGATCTGAGTGATTACCTGATGCCAGCCAGTAGAGGTAGTATAAATATTGACCTAACGCAGATCCATCGGTAAGACCACTAAGTAACAGTAGTTGCGGCCGTCTAACAGCCCTATACGAACATAAATATAAATAAACACATATGAGATTAAGTATGAAGCAATATAGCAGAGAAATGCAAATTATCGCAGTGTCTGGCAGGCTGGCCTAAGTGTCAGTAATACAAAACTACATTTTTGATGGCCTTGCTTTCTTTGGAGGCAAAGCTGAGAACATTCCGGCAATTTCTTTCTTGTGATCTTCGGTCAACATGATTCCGAATACATCCGCCAACACCTCGATCCTCTCCTCCTCAGACTCCAAAAAGCTCTTCTCCAGCACCTTGCCAGTGTGGAACCGTATAAGCGTATTATGCCATAGCATAACCCAGCCCGCCGGGACCCCTTCCTCCAGCACGTACTGGAAAGCAGTGACACGGAACCGAAACCATACGCGTTTGTTTGTACCAACTGCCCGGGCGCCGGCCTCGTAATCCGTGTCTAACCATTCGCACTCCTTGAATGCATAAACGTCCATCCACGGCGCCGCCGTTGATTTCATGCTTTGGAACTGCAGTCGCCAGTACTTCAGATGATGCGCCCGGCCTTTGTTGATATTGTCGTAGATCAGCCGTCCCCGACGACCCAAGCGCCCATCCACAAATTCATGCCCATCACGCAGGGCAATCGGCTGGACAGGGCAGTTCGGACCGAAGCCCCCATCCACAAGGTAATCTTGTCCGTCAACGCGAACAATGAGAACCATGTGTTGCCAGTCACCGAACTGTGCACCCACTGGTCGGTTAGGATCGCCGGTGGTTGCAAGAGAGATACTAGCTGCTGCGTTCAGACGCGCTGCACTGTTGTAGAGCGTGTATCCGATGGAAAGCAGGACTTCGCTTAAGATCCTGACTACCTGAAAGCAGGTGCCACCTTGACGACGAAGCACAATCTTTTCGTATAGACCTTGAGGTTTGAGCTCAAAATACTGCTGGGGGGTGTAGTGCAGCACTGTATTCTCAAACGGAACCCCTGCAACATGATGGCGCACAAGGCTGGTCAGAACCTCTAGGTCTTTATTCCCAGCGCTCAAGCGAGCGCGAGTGTCATGAGGAAGTTTGATGCGTTCGAAGTATTGTTCTAGTTGGGCCGGTGTATATGACATTTTGGAGGAATGGGTTTAGGGTTTGAGATAGAAGGGTTGGTGTCTACCTAGGTGTGTTCGACGACCTGGGTTATATAGAATGAGTCGGTCTCATGGACATTGACAAGATGTCCTCTAAGATCGACACTAATAACGAGGTAAGGCGGACGCTACTTGATTGTAGCATGTGAAAATTCCATAATAAATGATTGGTATAGAGCTGCATCTCTTGCAAGTCTAACGAACAACTACCAAATCTTATCCTGCCAACTCATTGAAGATCTAGTATCAACTACAGGGGATACGCTCATTAGCAATTGGAAGAGGAAAGAGAGAAGCAAAAGGAAAAATAACATCGATTATTAGAATGGGATGGAGGGAATTTCCTAAACTTCAGTTTCTTTTTCTTCAAGGTTATTGACACGATGTGATTCTCCTTTTCCTCTATGAAATTGCACTTCCTGTGATCCGCACGGAGTATCTGAGACGGTACTTAGTATAGTATCGAAGGACTGATCCATATTGACGGAAAGGGGAGTTTTGGTTTATATGACATGGAACTAGTGGGGATAGTGTGGTGATAATAAAGGAGTCCATAGTTACAATAAACTACATAGTATATGATTCAGCCGCGTGATCGTCGGGCCCTAGCATCCTGTAGTGTAACCGGTGAGCTGAAATATATTCCGGTAGAATTAGACTCACCGAGCCGCGGAGGAGTGCGTTTATCCGCGTCCATCAACGGAGTAAAGTAAGCCCGTCAATCTTGTTCGCGCACCATGGTATTTATTTTGATCCTTATGATAGTTAGTCCGTAGCCTGATTATAGTGAAGATCCCTTACCGGTCCTCATTGA